CTTCAAATCACATTGTCTCTTCTATTGGGAGTTGCAGCTTCTAGCTGTTGTGTTCACAAAACAGTAAAAGGAAGTTGGGTGGTTATTATAGTATGCTGGGATGGAATAATGATCCTTTGTGTTTTTGTTTTATTTGTTTGATACACGGTGATTTTACTTTTTAATAGAAGATGGTCTGTATAATTATTGATTTATGGTGTAATTCTGTCATTCCATGTAATGTTGTACGTTTAGTTGACGTGCCAAAGGCTCTGGTGCCTGGTTGTGGTTGAAAGCGTAGATGGGAGGATTGCGGTTAGAATGTAGACAGCAAAGTGTGTAAGAGGATCATCCCTTTTGTACATTTTGCCTCCCAGCTCTGGACAGTGCCTTAGGCTGTAGGGAAGCAGCTTTTCCTAATGGCTCAAAATTCACGTATTTAAAACCACAAAATGGATCTCCTGAGGCCCAGTTTGATGCTCGCAGCTAATGGAACCAATGGTGAGTGAGAATGACAACCTTCGGGAAGTCGTCGCTGTTTTTTCCACGTGACCTAGTTACCCCCAAGGTTTTATAAATCGATCAACACTATGAGGAACATTTGATATCAACCAGATCATTGTGTCTTTGGTAGTTCTTTCTATCTTTGGACGCTCCATCTGGGCAAAGACCAACAGCGAATGATGAGCACTGGTGTTCCAATTACACTTTTGTTTACTTGCTGTCCCCCCAATGAATCAGTCTGAACTTGTAAAGTTAGGCATCAATGAAACGAACAGACATGCAAGCCTTAAAACTATTTAGACAAAGACATAGTGGAAAGTTGACATAGTGGAAAATACACATCTGTATAGAATTCATGGAATAGTGTATTAAGCACTCTCTGTAAGAGTATAAGAAAACAAACATTAAAATTCTTCATTGATTTTTTTGGTTTGTAGAGTACACCTTACGATTGTTTATTAGCTATCTAAATTACCAGATGTGTGACAGAGAGTTGCTGTCCACCACTTATTTTAAAAAGTTATTTTCCCCCACTTGAACAAATTTTAAAACGATTAGTTTTAAATGATTTTTTCCTTTGGCTATAGTGGCAAGATATTGAGGGCTCAAGCCTCTGTATGGATAACTGGGCACAACTAGTCCTAGTTGCCTGGGACCTGTTGGAATGTAACTTGCTCAGTTAAAACTGCTTATTTGCATTCGCAGCACACAATTAAACCACTGCCTTGTGCATCATGACCAGCCTCTTCTCTTATTTCACAGCTAGACACCTCTGGTGATGATGTGACACCCTCCTAAGGAAGCTATTGTTCTATATGTCATTATCTACTGGCAATTATTTACACATAAGGGGAAACCTTTGAAGACAACTGGTTTTAGTTAACTATCTCAAAAAAATATTTTTAAAATATGTATATACATTATAAATTACTGTAGATTATTGTTTTGCCTTTTGAAAAATTTTTGTTGCAGAGAAAGCAATTCATTATTACATGCTTCTACTCCTGAGTATGAAGGGAGCCATACCTGCATCTCGTGCTGCACCACCTCATGGGAATCTTAGTATGTGCTAATTGTTCTGTACTTTGTTTTAATGAATGAAGCTGTTGTTTCTCTTCACGTCGCAGTTCATTTCCAAAGAAAAGAAACGCTCACTTTTCTATGCCACAGATTGTTCTAGTGGATGATAATTTCGCTGAATGTTGCTTTTCAGTGTGGCTTCTGTATGGCAGGCTTGACCTTCAGAAAATAAATCCCCCTTCATACATAAAAAAATCTGTTTCACAATCCACTGGAGTTTATTTTTTGCATGAGCTTTGCTCTTACCCACAGCTCAGCCCATAAAGGTTCCTTTCTTGTCAGCGCTTTCTCATGCAGCAGAACGTTTCACTGTTTCAGCACCACAGGGTATATCTTCTACAGAGGCTGCTGTAGGTGAGGCAGAGAGAGGTATTGATGTCCGGGACCCTTGGGTCTTGTGCGCTGGTATTGTATGTCAGCAGGACAAAAGGTTGGCGCCAACTGTCCTGCTCTGTGCGCCAGTAACTAGAATTAATTACAAACCAATCGAATCCGTTGCAGCCAATTGGTAAACTAATTGGTAATTTTAGCTGTACATCTATACTTTGTTATCGGCCTGTCTGCAACGGTGTTTTCAGAGCCACTTTTGTTCTCCTCTATCCTGCCTGACAAAATGGCCTTCATCACTGTGAGCGAAAGAGATGCGGACCACTGAGCCCGGGGGCCTCTCCAGCTGCTTGTCTTGTTTGTGTTCCGGTGTGCGCGGAACAAGCCTCAGGTTACGGGTGCTTGGAGTTGCCTGTGATCAGAGCAGATAACAGTATTAAAGCACTGCCAGCTCTGGTTTAGATGCAGGTCTAATCAGCGTGCCTTTGTATCCACTTATTTCAGTGTTGCAGAGTAATTTGCAGGACCGGAAGAAAAACACTGCTGTCCATCTCTGTGATCTAACTTTAAAAGTAAATGAATAGGNAAAAAAACCCTACACTATCTTGCCCATTATTTGGCAAGTAGCTATTTAATACAATCTGCCTGCACTCCCTCTTTGGGCCTTATATCCCACAAAGTCACCACTCTGTAAAAGAATTATATCTGTTCACAAGATTGTTTCAGGGAATAGTTTTATCATCCAGTATTCCAGGAAAATAAAACAACAAGATAACATTTGTATAGCGCCTTTCCGTCGGGAGGACATCCCAAGGCGTATCAATAAAACCTGCCCAGCACTATTGGTATTCTTAATTTTAAAACCTGCAAAATAAATTATTTTATAGAGTGGGGGAGTAGAGAAAAATCACATTTTAGCTTACCTTCCAATAGATGTTGCTGTCTTCACAATCTGGTTACGCCTAGAAGCTAGAAAGGATGGGTTTTAGAGGAAATTGAGGCTGAGAAAAGGAATAATGTCTTTCTGTACAACAGCTCTTGTTAACTTGAGGAAATGTATTTATGTTTGACGAAGAGGAATATTATAGGGTATAGGGAGTGCGATGTGTAGGAGGGTGGGATTAGAAGAGGCAACTCATTTTAATAAAACCTTCAGTGCAGAATTAATGGATTGCTTCTGTGTTGCAATATTCTGTGTTTCATCTCCTCCCCAATGCACAGTAACCATTTGAAATGCTACCCACCGTATCAATAAACATGGTTTATGAATATTCTAATTTTTCCTAAATGTTGCACTACCCAAATATGTTACAGTCAGGCTTTTTGTCCTATTGGAGGGAACGAGCACTTAGCAGGACGTTTGCATATATTGATATGTTGCTCAGGTTATGTTTTTGTTACAAGATATAGAAATTCTTTTCACTTTTGGCAGCTATTACAATTTGTCAACATCGGCCACCATAGAGCCTTTCACTGAACGTTTTCTGTACCTGAAGTGGAAAATGCTGTTATTGATAACTTTACTGCCTGTTATAGAATTATCAATAACTACTTTGAAAAAATCCATATCAAATTGTCTCTTGCTTTGATTAATATTTAATTTAATATTTATATTATTGGTTTTCTTTGTGTGTCTGTGGTTGTGTTACATTGTGTACATGTCTGTGTGTGCTTGCTTTGCCTTGCGTTTGTGTATGAAAATTGGCTGGTCATTTACAAAGATAAAGATGATTTGTTTTGGCTTGCGTTCAACTTGCTGAAGCTGACGTAGTTTGCAGCCACCGTGTTTATCAGCGCTGTAGTTTTGCGTTGAGAGAGGTGCTGGCTTTACACTAGAAATACAGAGCAAATCCAGATGGCCTTAACAGGAGCCGTCATTCACTGATTGTAAACTCAATGCAGGTTGGTATCAAAACTAAACATACAGTAGGGCACTTATTAGGGATTGCTACTTAAAATAAAGCTGGATAATACGCTATCTTTTTATTATGTTCATTTAGATTAGTTGATATTTCTTTTTCTTCTTCCCCTTTCCCTCTCATTCCTTTACTCTTTTTTTCCCCCCAGGAATGCCATTACATTAGAATACATTAGAATACATTAGAATACATTAGAATATACAGAGCAGAAACAGGCCATTCGGCCCAACTGGTCTATGCCGGTGTTTATGCTCCAAGAGAGCCTCCTCCTGCCCTTCCTCAACTAAGCCTTCAAGCATAACCTTCTATTCCTTTCTCCCTCATGTACCTATCTAGCTTTCCCTTAAATCCATCTATGCTATTTGCCTCAACAATTCCCTGTGATGTTCCACATTCCCACTACTCTCTGTAAAGAAATTTCTTCTAACTTCCCTATTTGATCTATTTGTGACTATTTTATATTGATGACCCCTGGTTTTGGTCTCCCCTACAAGTGGAAACATCTTCTCTATGTGTACCCAATCAAAACCATTCATCATTTTATTTTTCTTTATTTTTTATTATCTTTTATTTTTCAGGATGTATGTGACTTCCTTATATCTTCTACCAAAATATACCACCTCAAACTTTTCTACATTGCCTCAAACTTTTCTACATTTTGTTCTACACTTTTGTTCATCAATTGAATCCCTGTCCAAATTATAATAAAATAATAATCCTTGCATTTGAAATAGCACTTTTCACATATTTTAGATGTCTCAAAGCGCTTCACAGAATAATAATATGTGCATTTGATATAGCACCTTATCACATCTTCTAGACGTCTCAAAGCGCTTCACAGAATATACTGTAAAGGGAATTGACCATATATTTGTGAGCGTAATGCGGCACCTAATTGCACACAGCAGAGTCCCGCAAACAGTCGTGGATTGAAGTCACCGATTTATTATTTTTTTCTTGAGGGATTATTAACAGGCGTGTGGAGTAAGGACACTTGCCTAAAGTTTCGCCCTGCCAGGAATCAAACCCAGATCTCTCACTTGCGAGGCGAGTGTTCTAACTGCTGAGCTACAAGTGTCCACAAAAAAAATTAAAAAAGGATTTCATGTTATGAGCTTTGATTTCATATTTGAGCATGGTGGAGGGAACTACAAGCAGTTCAACTGCTAACCTGTCTGCTTGTTTTTTCAGGAGGTGCTGATGATGCTGGATAACTATGTTCGAGATTTCAAAGCGTTAATAGATTGGCTGCAGCTGCAAGAAAAGCTGGAGAAGACAGATGCACAGAACAGGTAGCAAATGATAATGTGTGCATACTGGATGTTTCAGAGAACAGGATATTTTCTTGAGGCTTCATTCTGAATTGATGCTTAAACAAAGCAAAGTTTACAAACAAGTTTGGATAGCACTGAAGAAATCTGCACCTCAGTCTTTTAATCTGTTTAAAAAAACATAGGAAAACAAATTAGATGGGAAATAAAATTAAAATAGTCTAAAATAGGCAAATAATATTTATCACCAATTTCAGATATTGGGCTATCATGACTATAGTTTAATTTGCTCTTGATTTATGTGCGAGTCAGTAATGTTATATAATCTGTCTAGCCCATAGATGGGATGGAGGAATATGTGATCCTCATAAATATTGCATCAACAAATTCACTTAATGAGATTTTTAAAAGAAATGAAATTGTACATGTAATTCGTGCTCCATGACTTAACATTTGACAACTATTTGTTGCAGACCCACATCTCTGGCATGGGAAGTGAGGAAAATGTCTCCAGGGCGACATGTCATGCCAAGTCCACCTACAGATCGAATTGGCCCCACATCAAGTGCTCGAAGGAGTTTGAACTTTGTGGCTTCTAATACCATGTAAGGATTGATTCTAATTAAAGAATTGATTCTAATTAAAGCATTGCTTAAATCATTTGGCAAGTTAACTGAAGAAAATATTTGTGTGGTCATGGTTAGATATTTGCCAGCAGCATCTTGCAAAACTGGTAATTGAAACACATTAGATCTACCAGGTTTTTGCCAATGAAGAGACAAAATTATTGTTGATTGTAATGTGTAATATCCTGCCAAATTGTATGGAAAGTTGTTCAGCAACAGCAATGGTCTACCTCAGTGCTATCAACATAGAAAGGGCCCAGGAAGGAGTAACTATGCCAGAGAGGTGAAGTTTTGTTAGCTAAATAATGTTGGGAAATGATTGATTTTTTTTACCATTTACAAAAAAAGGTAATGGTGGAATACCCCTTCAAAATAGGTGAATCTTTATGACGAGAAATGGAGAGCGTGCTAAATCAAATAGATCACACAAAACAAATTACATGCAAATCTCCTTTCCATTTACCCACTCAAAATGTAAAATGCAATTTATTATACAGGGCAAACACCAGATTCACCTTGCTTTATATTTTAATAAACATTAGCCTTCCAAGTTGTATTAAATGAATCCTATGACAAGATCGAGATTAATATAGGCAGCTTGATCCTTTGTTTAATGTGACTTGCATCGGTTTGCTTCTAATTTATTAAATGCATTGCTACTGAAGGATGTTCGCATCTAATTGTTGTTGAAGACTGTTGAAGAGTTGGTTCAATACTTGCGTTACTGTGTAATGGTAATACCTCAGGAAATGAATATTGATCACCAAAGAGGGAGTGTAAATGTCCAGTGATATTGACATGCACGTTTACATGGAGTTCAAATAGTGGCTCAGTTCAGAGCCTCCTGAACTGGAGCATTACTGAGCTAAAGGTACAAGTGAATGTTTGTATTGGTTACGTTTATTGCTTGCAGCCTTGCTGCATGCGCTGTAAATGAACAGCATTAGAAACAAATTGTTTAACTATAGTTGCTTATCTGCACACTGGATAACCTTACGCCCCCTTATCCACATTGGGACTCAGAAATAGTTAGACTAACTTTGGTGAAAATATTTAGTTTTCGATCAGATATGTGCAAAGTGGAGAGATCTGATCCAGGTAATTGCATAGATAGAGAGAGGCACACAGAGACATTCTTTTCTTGATCAACTTGGGACAATATTGTAACTGCTCTAAATTTATGTTTAAAGGTAATTTACATTTAGTTAGTTGGAAAATGATTTGCATTCTACATGGTGTGTGATGAAATGAAAATTACAATAAGGTCATTGGTTGAAATTCCTTTAATGAGCGTAGTAGTAGTTGATTTTTCACAATGTCTGCTTTTAAAATCAAGGAAATCAATATTCTACCTCTTAATCTCACCTATTTATTGTTGTTGGTGACCAGTTCTGCTTGTGGTTTGAATCTGTGTTGAATTTCTCTTATATTTAGGCCACCTCCTCCTGTTTTGGTAGCTGCTCGTCTTGCCCCAACTGGTGCGAGTTGGGCTGACAAAGTAAAAGCTAATCGGGCAAGCACGGCTTTTACAGGAGTACCAAAACACGCCCGAAATAGCTCCCAGAAGTCTTCTCAGAGGATTGTATCACAGACAATTGGTGAGTTAAAGTTCACGGATACTTTGCACAGTGGTAAAAAGATACAGAAATTGAGATGGACCTGCAAATGGTCATTCTGGATTATGAATTTGTGCCGAGCCGTGTTGCCCACCAGGACGCTCGCAGGGAGTTCCTGGTGTCTGCCATCCACCTAGTGAGGGCTCAAACCTGCACTTGCCGGATGTCAAATGATTAACTAGTGATTATCCTTCTTGGGGGAAGAAGGTAAGTGGGGTCTCCTTGGAGCTAAACTGGCTCCAAGGTGTCCTGTTTGGCAATGGAATGTCAGGTAGGGTGATTGGACTCCAGTAGCTCTCCAACAGCACACTCTGGGGTCTGCATTCTTGGCTCTTGCTAACTTGTGCCTAACATTGTCTGGAATAGTAAGAAGGAACCGCGCCTCCAGGGAGAGAGTGCGCATTCCATTCCAACAGTCTCAAGAATTTCCAGTGTAAGTAAGATGCATGGAATTCTGTTTGGTTTGGATACTCCTGAGCATGGTGATGGGTTTCCGCATGTGTCAAGACACGCGGCTGACCAAAACAAATAACTCCAGTCTCGGTATGGACTCCCAGCATGCAATCGACAAGCACAGAGTCGGACTATCACCCCTCTACAGTTTAAATTTCAAGTCAATACAGAGTTTGTAAATCAAATCCAAATTGTCTATAATCTCTTTTGCGTAGCCAAGGGAATTGCTTTGATAGAAGGGGAGGCATCTTGACCTATTGAACAGATTGACTTTCAGCAGGCAATTAAAACAAGACTAAGGTCTCTGGTTGATACTGCACTTTAAAATATAGCTTCAGAGGTCGAGTCATTTTCTGACTTTCTTTTTAAATTGGTGGAGCCTTAGAATATAAATGGATAGAGTAGACGTAGAAGAGGCAAGTGAAGCAGAGGGGGAACAGGGCAGAATCAGATGTGGACGGAATCCTGGGACGTAGGGGTTGGGTGGGTAGTGGAGTGGGAAGTGAACGCAGCGTTTCTGAGGTTACACTGTAAAAGGCAAAATCTAAATGTGAATTGTAGTGAAAAACTTCACATTGCATCAACCCGCAAAAAAACAGGCAGACTTCAGGCTGAATTTCCAGGTCAATTCCAGGAGCCAAGTGATCCTGGAAAACGTAGTGCGTTGGCTGCATTGCGCGGCTCCTGTGTATATTGCTCATAGTAAAATTAGCAGCTTCACTGGAATAAGTAATTATTTATATCCAAACAGTTTTTATTAGGATTTGTGTTGATTTAGGTGAGGAATAGCAGGACCAGGGAATAGAAATTTTTGTCACGTTTAAACCACTGTCGACCACTTTCAGGTCAATCTGAGCAGGGATGAGGTGGAGAATATTGGTAGGAAAGGGGGGAAAAAATCATGCTCCAATTACTATTCAATGATCCTAAATGGAAAGTTGCTCTGCTGTGAAGCCCTACAATATTCCGTATGGTCAAATAACCCATTGACAAATGTTGTGGCTGCAGCAGGAGGATGTGAGAATGTGTTCCTTGGGCAAAGCACTGTAGCCCAGGGTGAGTCAGCGTCTTTAGGAGAGAAAATGATTTGAAAAAAATAATAATTTGCATAAATTCAGAATTTCAAAACAAAATACTGTTGTGAGCAGGATTATTTTTTATTTGTTTCTTAGTTTGATAACATTCTGTCATTAATTTGTTATGTTTTGTTGCAGAGGTAAGTAACATCGGATGAAATAGCCAGTTTTTATGTCATTCTGTTCAGGAAAATTAAGGAATATTTAATATTGTGGAGAGAGCCTTAAGGATCGAAATTACATATTTGGAAATAAGAATTACAAATGTGTCCCCTGCCCCCTGCCCAAGAATGTTGGTGGTTATTTTGAGAACTTATTTGGGAATACCTGGATTGTGCAGCAAACTAATATGAAGAGGGTTGATGAGTGACAAAAGATCAAGATCATGTGTTGCCATTGGGACCTTCTTCAAGAATGAATTTCCTGAAATCTTTTTCCCGAAGGCATGTATGTTCTATTCCTTCGGGTAAACTGCTTGCAATGGAAATGTGAGCTGCGAAGTATTGAATGAAGTGTGAGTCTTTGTATCAGGTTTCCAGTTGGAAAGGATGTGATCCCTCTCCTCTTATATACTATTTAAATCTCAAACTGGAATATTTTTTCCAGCAATCCAGTTCATTTCCCCCCATTTAACTGAACATACTCATACATTTATATATCCTTTGACTTCTGTTTCACAGTTAAGGCCATTAAACCCCTAACTGATTACATTTTCGATTTCAATTTATCACCTCTTTGTTTTTTCTGCATTCAATCCCTGCAGCATATTATCTGCTTGGTTACGGGGGCGGGGGGGGTGGGGGGGAGTCCACAGATGGAATCCAATATTTCACTACAGTCAACACATCAAAAATTGTGTTTAACTTGGTTCAAAATTCTTTTCTCCTGATCCAGCACAACCTCTTGAGATGTGTGAATGAATTTACCATAAACAGTAGTGACTGTGTATTTGTAGGCGAACACACAGCCAGTTTGCCGCAGTGCTACATCCTTTTGCCAACTCTAATCCCTCATTCGCCCACAAAATATACAGTCAATTCAGTTTACAGTATATGCTGTGAAGCGCTTTGAGATGTCTTGAAGACTTGATAAGGCACTAAATCAAATGTAAGTATTATTATCTGCAAGGAAGTCACAGATAATAATACTTACATTTATTAAAGTATTATTATTATTCATTTCCTGATTGGACAGAAAGAACGGATGCTGAAGGTTGGGAGACAGTGCATCGTGGGAGACCTGCTCGTCCACGGTCTGCGGCTATGGTAGCGAACGTCAACATAAAGACACCAGAAACAGTGTATCTGAGCCTTAAGGATGACAGTGATAAGGAGAATGGACACTCAGGAGAACAGAACGGAAAACAAGAGTTTGTACAAATCAGTTCTCATTCCAAGAGTGTGTCAGTTGCAACAGAAAAGTTAGTTGAGCCCAACGAAGACTCCCTCGCAGACAGCCTTAAGGTACAGTCTAACTGTTATGAAATTGCTGCAAATTACTTTTGTTTTAGGGCTTTCCAGGTTTCCTCGTTGCTGCCGCACAAAATAACAGCAGGATCAGGAGCTGTTGGTAACTTGCCTTCTGAGGCGGCACACTAGAAGCGAGCAAGGGTAACATTTCGTATAGTGGAGTCCCGTAGCTTAGTGGTTAGGTCACTCGCCTCGAGTATTCTAACCACTAAGCTACGGGAGTCTTCCTGGGTTCAATTCCCAGATAGGGTGAATCGTTGGACAAGTTTCCTTACTCCATACGCCTCTGTTTACCTCGAAGTAAGCAGGGACGCCGTTGGTAGTCGATTGCAGATCGCTTTTCCGGGGGTTAATAATCCCTTCAAAATAATTTATTGTATTAAATAAATAATACTCAATCCTCGACTGTTGGTGGGACTTCTTGGCTGCAGGGAAAGTTATCAAAATAATTCCTTTTGTTTTTATTAAATCTGATAAATGGCTGTGTAGTTTGCAGTTGTTGGTAGTTATTAGGAGTTAAGTGGGTTTGGATTTATATTATACCAACTAATTTAGTATACCATCACTGAATTGAAGGGTTTCAGCTATCAGGGTATCAGATCTTTTCTGAAGCCCTGGAATCATCTAATGCATTGGTGAGCAAGGAGCACAAAAATTCAGAAAAAAGAACAATTTGGTGACCTTCTTTCTTCACCAATATTGTGGTTGTGAATTATCTTGGTCTAATAATAAAATGTTGCTTTGAATTTTAATGCACCATTTTCAAGTTAGGGAAGATGAGACATCAAAACAAATTATTAGCTATTTATAGTTGTATGAATATAAAAATTCAAAAAGTTGAGGATGTATCTGGTTGTTTGTATTGCTTTGCCTTTTATGTAAAACAAAGTATGGAGATGAGTTGTGTCTGGGAGGGGAGTGATGAGAAACTCAGAAGATACAAGAAGGCAAGTGAGGGAAGCAACAGATATCAGGCAAGATGCATGTTATTCTTTAGGAAGGTGGGAAAAGCACGGAGACTTGTCTCGAGTGGAAAGCAATGCATTGGAAGATACTAAAAACATTCTAAATAGGATTCTTTGTTCTCCTAGTTCAATGTTAATAGCAGATGTGGGGAAGGATAATATGGAGCTTTACTTGATTTATCGTGTTATTGCAATACAGAGGTTTCCCCCAGGAGATGGCATGGGTTGGGAAAGTTCATAATAATAGTTTTTGCTTGAAATATAGTATGATGGACTTGAAGGGACAATTCGTTTTTTTTCTGGCAGTCATCTTCCTGCAGTAATATTTTTTGTTTGTTATTTTTTCCTTCTTTATTGTATGATTTACAGATATGAATCGTCACTGTACTATCATTACTATAAACTGATCAAAAAGTAACCCTGCGGTTGATGTGAGATTCTGCATCTAGGACTTTATTAATCATTAAATTGGTCAGAAAGGGTGATTTCTTCAAGAGCAAAGAGTCTGCACATTTGAATTAAATTGATATTTTATGTTGCGTATTATAAATGTTTAAATTGTTGGCTCTCAAAGTTCCTATGTTCTGAGTGGATTACTTGAAAGGACAGTTTGTTTCCAGGCATAGTGGATATGTTGGCACCTTACCATTGCTTCTGAATACTTGGGAGTGACACAGTGAATTTTATTGCGCTCTTGGGATTAAGTGTTCGACGTGCTTGTCTGAAGAGGCATTGTGCATTAGAAAATAGTTTTCAGTATTTCTTGCTAATTTACGTTTGGGACTAAAGGCTTCCATGATTGACATAAAACAAAGGCTTAATTACTGACATTGTATAAAAGCACAAAAAGTGAGGCGTTTCTTTCATTTTTAAAAAAAGCTTTTAATATCCTTGGCTGGATTTAATATTGACTGCAGTTATCAGGTTATAAGGTTGCTGCTCAGATTGCAGAAATAACCTCAAGTGTGCAATAATGTCTGTAGCTTCATGCATTATAATGCACTCAGTCACTTTTGTGCCCATTGGGTCATCACTTTATTGCTTTAATCCACTGTTTGTACACTTTACTGAGACTGGGCCTTGGAGTTGTGATACAGTAGGAGCCTCTTAATGGAAATAAGACTACATGAGGAGAGTGTCCTTTTAACCAATCTGTTCCCCTTAAACAAATGTTATTTAATTTAATTACAATCAAGACAGCTCTTCAAGGGGATCCCTGACTGTCCAACGCCTTGGGATATCCTCCTGACGTGAAAGGCGCTATACAAATGTAATTTGTTGTTGTTCTTGTTACTGTTGTTCCAATTATGAAACGATGGATCACTGGGTAAAACTCACATTTTTTAAACAAACAGTTCAACCGTTTTCTGTTTATATAAGTTCAGCACTTCATTTATTTAGTGTATAAAGAATGTACCAGGGCCTGAATTGGTGTCCCCTTTCCCTGAACTGTTTAACAGCTGTGGTTTGCACTCTCAAATGTGAATATTTTGCAGAATGATATAAGAGTACACCTCAAGATGGAGCATATAATACCCCAAATTCTCCAAATCAGTACCCCCTCCTCCCCCCTCCAGTCCTGTCTCTCCTCATCCTCTTCATGTTCCAGCATTGGCCTTATAGTTAACCCTTTATGAAATTCAAAACTGCATTGAGCAGTGAAAGGAAAATAAAGCATTTAGAACTAAATCAAAATGGGAGATTTCAGTGCCACTTGTAAATTATATTTAAGATCCCTCTTATTTAAAATAATTCCCCACAGCCTGCTTAACTATTCCTGTGATATTTCAATCCTTATTACCAATGATCCCCATTAAACAGTGAATCGGAGATCAGGCGAACTCAGCGTGCAATATAAATTGATACTTTGCATTTAAGTGCTTTTGTTTGCAGCCACATCTCAGTTACGTCTGCCACAAATTCTCCCTGTTTACAAGATGTTTCTAATCTAGATGGTATTTAATTGGAAACAAATCAAAATAGTCTCTCTTTAGCTTCAGTCCAAATACATTGGGCCAAAAGCTTTGTATTTTAATCAATAGCCGTGTTTTGAATAATTGTAGAGCTATCAAAACCTCTTGTTAATAAGCATTATATTACATTAGAGCACAGAAACCACGTCTGTGGATGTAGCACAACCCGATAATGTGCCTTTGCAAGACAAGTCTTGGCGACAAGATCCAGGAACCGCTGAGAAAGAGAGAGACACTGTCTGCCCTTCAGAAGATGCAAAGGTGGAAGTGGGAGATGCAGTAACTGTGCAAGAAGCAGCTCAAGTGGACGCTGCCAGACCGGGATCTGAAGTAGACCTTTCCAATGAACTTTCAAACGTGAGTAGCAAAAGTCAAGTTTAGTATTACTTGCGCAGTTTTTTGTTCACTGAGACAAGTGATTTAGAAATACGTTAGTTATCTGTTGATACTTTTTATGGTCCACCATTTCCCCCCTTCCCCTCTCCCTCAGCATAATTTTTAAAGAAAAATAATTATTCTAGATGTTTTTCTTGTGCAGTGATCTACATTTTTTTTGGTGCGGGGAGAAGAAACTGGTGCACAGTAGTACAGCTGCAGAGCAGGAGGAGTTTTCTTGAACTTAAAATAAAGTCTTGTGGCCACTCACAAATGCCTCAGCACTAGCCCTAGAGCATTTCTGCTGCCTTGTAAGGGATTCAGAAGTTGATTGCTGAACAGTTGTACTCTGTTTTAAATTGTGCCAAGATGCTTAAAACCAAGTTAAATAGAAGCTGTGTGTTTAACATGAGGATCACTGAACACAACTGCGTTGCATGTATCTTGCATTGACTTCTGGAAGTTCTATAATTGTTGGTGCCCATGAATCTTTACACATTAATTGGATCTTCAGAGGGTTGTCAATTAACGTGTTAATGAAGGGTAAGTAGCAAGAGTTTGTTTCAGACATGCTTCAAAGGCTGACTGCCAATGCTAGTGCTAAAATCTGAAGGCCTGTTTAAAATATGAAGATTAATTGTACTTTAATGGCCATAGGGGACTGTTACTTAAACTCAGATCAAAAAGGAATTGGGCTCTCTGTACTGTGAAAGCAGACCAGGGAAAACGTTTTGGGTGGCTTCAGATAAGAACCTTTATGTTTAGACTCTCCATTGGTATTTGGGGGCAGTTTGTGAGCTGCTTTGATGACAGAAGACACTTTCCCCTTTTCCTTTCTTCCTTTAATGAAAGGATTAACCAGCTTTCACCTAGGAGAGATGAAAATGGATGTCACACTATTCCCCAAAATGACTGTAGATGGCTTCCAGTGCTCTTACTTAATCCCTTGCTCTCTTAAACTATGCAATATGTGTCATCTGTGGAGTTATTAACATGAATAAAAGTGAAAACTGACAGAAGTGTGAGTATTACAATAGTGAAAATGTCTGAGGTTACTTTTAATTTAGATTTATATATATATTTGTAGGTACACTTTTAACCACTTGTAACTACAGCAGTTACTCTGGATTGTAACACATTACATCTCTGGGATCTATTATATGAGTCGTGTAGACTCTTCATAGAATCATAGAATTATACAGCACAGAAGGAGGCCATTCAGCCCATCATCTTCTGTGCCGGCTGTTTGAAAAGTTGATAAAGTGACTTGTGTATGATCCTGTTAACAAAAGGAATTCCAGGTGATTTGTAAACCTTCTTATTGGTTGTTAATCACATTTATTTACACAAGTCACATAAATGCACATGTTTAATTCACTTCCAACTCCCAGCTAGAATGTAAACAGCTCTTTGGGGCAAAGCATGGTATATCATAGAATTATACAGGACAGAAGAAGGCCATTCGGCCCATCTTGTCTGTTCTGGCTCTTTGAAAAGAGCTATCCTAATCAATCCCATTCCCCTGCTCCCTCCCCTTAGCCCTGCAAACATGAATAAATGCAATTTGTCTTCGTTGTTGAGATTAAAAATATCATGGGGGCTATTGAGGCTGGGTTAACAGAAACATTCAAAACAGAACGGGATAAGCATCTAAGAGGTAAAAACATTAAAGGATAAGGAAAAAAGACTGAAGTGGAATTAATAAAAATGATTGACTCAAAAAAAATACGTAGAAGTGGTAAAGACGTGAGGGGCCAAATAATAATCCTTGCATTTGATACAGCGCCTTCTCACGTCTTGGAGACGTCTCAAGGTGCTTCACAGAATATACTGTGTGAGTTGATCTCCTCACACAGACTGTACTGCACGAGTTGACAAAATGACCTCCTTTTGCTGAATATTTCATTTCCATATCGTTTTTGGCTTTTGTAGCCATTATTTCTTTGCTTCTCAATTGCAGATTAATTCCTTATGCTTGGCAGTAGAATTCTGTATTTTGCCACCAGAGCTTCTCAAAGCCACCTTTTTGGGACAATTCTTAAATATTATTTTAATTTTAATGCGATCATATAAAAAGTATTGGATGGGGAAAATCTTTAATAAGCGTGTGTTTTCATGTCTGGATTCAGGTACTATTTGTAAACCACTTCTGGTTCACTCTTCATTGTTTTACAAGACATCTGAAACTTTTGATTACATTGCATCCTTATTTCTGATTCCCAACAATCCATACTTGTAAATAAGTATCATTTTGATGCCTGATATTGATAGAATCAGGCACTCAGTCAAATTGTCTCTTTGAATTTTTGCCCTTGACCACTTTAGCGCAAGTAATTATCAGTAGAATCTATCTGACCCCAACACCACAAAGAAAGTTTCGAAATTGAAAATTTGCAATTACATATTTGTCATTTTAAAATATGCAAACGTGAGGGAGACATTTTGGAATGGGGTGAAAATAAGGAATGTAAAGACAGTTCAGGTTTCCAGTGTTGAACTAGGACACATTCTCCTGCAATCTTCAGGAATCTATGTAGATGTGGCAGTACAACATCATAGCTAACTCGTTTAGTTGAACTTGGGACCAAATGGTGCTGGGTTCAAATCCTAGTGGATTAAATTCCCCTTCAAGCTTTTGAGGTTGAATACTATCTCTCAAAATATCTTCCTTGTAAAGTGGGGCCTCCCTGAAATTGAACTGGTTCTGAGCAAACAAGTAGTAATCTAAGGCATTGTTGATGGATGACTAGCCTGTCTGGCTCATCAACAAGACAAGGCAGTTTAGATGGGTCATAAACCTTGTGAAGCAAAGTCTGAACCAGTAGTAGATCCTGTGCACAAATACCATGGAAGTTGCATATGCTTTGAGCTAGTAGGCCTCATAGTTACCATAAGAGTACCTCATAGTACATAGAATTAAAAAAAATTCACTTGCACTAGTCTAGTATCATTCATGTAATATGAATTCTCTTTCCTTATATTAACTCAGTACAATTTTATTTTTGTCAATTCAGTATTTTTTCCCCTCTAGATAAATGACATTCTAATAGCTGTAATTCAAGTGTAAAGAAAGTCACACTTCCGTATAAACGCCCACAGTGTCTCTGACAACATGATTTCTGGTGCATTTCCATTACCTTTTGCAGATGTTAATTTTCCTTTAATTCTCCTTCCTCCCCCCCAGCAATCTATGGCAGCAGTTCTTGCTAAAGGAGAAGAACTGGCGAATCGTCTGGAACAGGAGAACGAGGAAGCGATTGCTAATGCCATTGCAGAGGAGGAGCAGTTAACCAGAGAAATACAAGCCGAGGAGAACAATGACATTAACCTCGAAACTGATGCTGAAAACGAGTTTTCCGTGAGTACAGCCCCATTAATTGGCAGGTTATCTTTGAATTTATTATAAAATTGACGAGGAAGGATATGAAAGAGTATGGGGACAACTAGAAACAGTTTATGACAACAATAATTTCACATTGGACAATTTTTTTTTATCTTGCAGGCCAGCATGGTTAGCGGAAACTTGTCTCTTTATGGTCTCTCATCACTGTCCCAGAACCTGGATTGGAATGATGTGCTGGCAGAATATGAAGGTATGAGGATTGCCATAGGTGCCAGGGATTCCATGGGTTGAATGTCCTTTAAACCTTTGTTGTTTTGTATGTGCTGTCGCTTGTTTATGCTGTGGTGTGGAAATGAGTTTATTATCCTGCTTATAGTGTATTTCCCTTTGTCTGACAAATTCTCGTTTGGCTCAATGTACAGCCTAATATCTTACAAAGTGGACAAGTTCTGATGTCATGAAAGAGACAGTCACTTATTATCTGTTTCAATATTATAAAAAGTAAAGAGCTAAACACATGATAGCAGAGTTCTCTGTCAAATAAAGCCATTATTATTCCTGCAAAGAGTAAACACAACTGCTGGTCAGACCTGCTTGTTGTGTCTTGGTTAGACAGGTAGATGGGGCACTTTGCCACAATCGTTCATTTCCCAGGGGATGGGAGAACAGAAAGGATTGGCCTGGAACACTTTTGCCCTGTAGATGCTAATCACATTTTTTTAATCTCATGGAGGGAGGGGGAGAAGATCAGAGGGCTGGTCACCCCTGGCCCTCTCGGATGGCTGCAAGCATCTTGTTACACAATCACATGGGAACATCACTTGTATGGACTCCCAAACTGAGAGAGAACCAATAGAGGGCATAAAGAAATGACATTTCCTTTGGTTTAACATGAACTAGCATTGATAGTGTCAGGGCAGCGAGCGATACACAGATGAGGCCGGGTTGCAATGAAAGCATCGCTATCCAATTTCAACCATAACACAAAGCTGGGTATTACAGTTCTGTTCTTCATATAATTGTGCCCTTTTCCAAACCAAAGCTGTTCTTTCCAACCTGATACCAGGTTTCTGTCTCTTCCAGTTCTGTTTACAAGTTGGAAAGAAGAATCTTTGTGCCTGATCCCCTAATTAAAATTCCACCACTGCATTTTCATTGCTCAGAACAGCTGTTATGAGACACAAAGATATCTCTATTCTCGGTGGGTTTTGATTTGGGAGCTGAAAGACTGGGAGAGGTGGAATTATTTCCTGGCTGTATTTAATGAGCAAACTTTTAAATTATTATTTTTGCTCCTTTTGTATTAGTTTGAGCAGAGCACCCAAACCAAGTATTAGTAGTGCCGTAAGGCAAGGCTTGTTGATGTAACCCACAAGGATAGGGCTTCAGGCCAGTCTCACAAATAACCAATTTGTATAAAATAGTGCACCAGGAAACCTGCAATTTCTCATGTTGTTAGCAGTAAAACCATCGTTTTAATATTTAAGATGGCAAGATTTTGGTAAATTTCTTTTACTTTGAAAACTATTTTCCACAGGTTTTAAAAATAATCTGTTTCCACATAAAATTTTTCTGAAAATTCTGAGTCTAAAGTTGAAGGTGAAGACCGTGAAGAAATTTGGCCCTTAGAATGATTAAGTGTCTCAGCCACTAGTATTAATTGTTTCAACGTCTTATTCTCCGCAGCACGGGAGCCTTGGCGTCAGAGTACCTCCTGGGGGGATATTGTGGAGGAAGAGCCAGCACGACCACCTGGACATGCCATCCAGATGCACGAGAAACTTTCCTCCCCATCTCGGAAAATGTGATTCATTACTCTTTTTTAAACACTTCTTAACCCTTGTAACTCCTGCTCTGAATTTTGGGCTTTCGGATTCCAATCAGAAAATCACAAATCTTTCAAGATGTGGGGAAATCGTACATCTTGAAAGATTTGTGATTTTCTGATTGGAATCTCAAACCCCAAAATTCAGAGCAGGAGTTGCAAATAACATTGTGTCATGCGAATCTGCAGCATTTCTTTTCTGGAAGCAGATTGCCTTTGGGGTACGGGGACGGTTGGGGGTGCAACTCACAAAGGTTGGTGTGACTTGTGTCCGGACAGAAATTGCTATTTGTAATTCCTGTTCCGATTTGCTGTGAATTTTAATGGAAGAGGGGTTAACAATAGAATAAATTGATGTATGGGACAGTGGACTGTTACGTTTTATTTCCGCTTACAAAAGTCTTTTAATACAAGCATTAACTTTAGCTACAAATTTCTTGCCTGCAGGACAATCGCGGAATCCAAAAGAAAACATGAGGAAAAGCAGCTGAAAGCCCAACAACTGCGTGAAAAGCTCAGAGAGGAGCAAACGCTCAAACTACAGAAATTATTGGAGCGGGTAAGATATTCCTAGTCTAATTGAGCCAGAAGGGACAAGGAACTTCAGCTAGAGTTCTTCAAACATTTGATCAGCAGCATGGTTCTGTGTCAGCCTCAAACAACAGAAAACTGTTTCAACTTGCTTATTGCTTTAGCAATTAAAGTAAAATCCTAAACCATTTTATTTAAAGCTGTGAGACGGCTGCCAGAATCCACCTTAACCGCAGACCNTTTTTTTTAAAGGCTGGTGTTCTACAGTTCTCTGCCACATGTTTTGGCTCTTCAATGCTTTTCTACACACAGATTTTTTTTTTAGTGTGACACTTTTTAATGGGGAGTTCTGCGATTCAAAGTGTTGTATGGCATGGTCCAATAATCCTGTTAACTCACTAATAGGAACGCTCCAATTACCCATCTGTTTTCTGTCAAAGATTAAGGTGCAGTATGCTGAAGCAGCAGCTTCTTTATGTGTAAATATTGCTACGTCTTATGTCCTTGGTGTATTGTGCGCCATGTGTGCACCCGTGGACAGAGAAAATTACATGATCCCTAAACTATATATTTAACAACAAATGAAAATTAATAACTACATAATTAACCAGTAAGCCTGTTCATTGGTTGGTCGTTATAATCAATTTTGCCTTTGTACATGGTACATAATAGATGCCAACGTACACAACATTTTACATAAACCAGGAGAACACTTTGTTAAAGTCATTAAATATAGGTTCTGTGGATTTGAACCATCATGCAAGACTTTTTATTTGCTCAATGCATGGACCACAGACTTGCTGCTGATTGAGGTTAACATATATTACAAATACTAAGTGGAGTACTCCCTAACTCTGCTCCTGAGCATCAATTTGCCCCCCCTGTGTCTTTAGGAGAAGGAAGTCCGGAAATGGAAAGAAGAGTTGCTGGAACAGAGGCGGAGGATGATGGAGGAAAAGTTACTACACGCAGAGCTTAAACGGGAACTACAGCTTCAGGCCATTGTAAAAAAGGCACAAGAGGAAGAAGCCAAGGTGTGGAGTCAAATATCCTAAAGATTTCTGGGCTCTGTGTATTGTTAGTGGGCTGTTGGTGGGAGCTCCTGAAGGAATCCTATGACAACAACAACAAGATTCCATTTCTAGAGCGCCTTTCACGTAGGGAGACGTCCCAAGGCGCTGACCCTGGTGTCATGAGGGAAATAGCTCTGGAAGTCGTGTAATTTTGTCTCATGTGTTAGCCCTTGTAGCTCCCAGTGCCTGTGTCAGTGGTGTTTTGGTGTGAGTGGTGTTTCTGTGTGTTATCATGGTGCATACACAGTTACTGGCAGGATTTGATATTTGCCAATCCTGGAGACTGGTGTTTTATTCTATCATCATAACCCTTGCATCAATGTCTCAAAGTACTTTACAGTATAATACGGTAAGGTGTAGTGACTGTATTTTGTAGGCAATTGGCCTAAGCAGCAAGTTTGCAGACATACTTTGTCAGAACCACAAATAGATGTTTACACACAGGATTTCAATTGGGCGGGTGGTGGGGAGGGAGGGATGGGAAAAGCTCAGATAATGGAATAATCATTTTCGTTCCAACCCACCTCATTTTTCCATCCTTCTCTCACAGAAAACCTAAATAATTTGAAATGGGTTTTATAACACAAAAATATTGAAACGGGCAAATAGTTTGATGTCAGTAAGTCAGCCTGTTTCTGAGCTATTCAATCCAGTTGTATGGTGAAGCTGACGAGCTTGTCTCTCTCCCTCTGTGCCCATCAGGTTAATGAGATTGCGTTCATCAACACGTTGGAAGCTCAGAACAAGCGCCATGATGTTCTGGCAAAGCTAAAAGAATACGAGCAGCGGCTGAATGAGCTGCAGGAGGAGCGACATCGCCGCCAGGAGGAGAAGCAAGCACGGGATGAGGCTGTGCAGGTTCGATTTGTGCAGAGAAAAGTATAATCACACCTTAACTCTACAACCTGCAGCCAACAAGCACTTCTACACTGAGTGATGTGTTTACAGAGTAACAATCTACAGCCTATTGTTGGAACATGCATGAAGTTTATATACTAAGGTCTAGAGTACAATTGTCCTTTCTAAAGATATGACAGAATTTTTTTGAGGCAATAAATGTGTGTCCTTAGCAAATCTCAGTTCCCTGTGTGAGTCGACAAGAGTAGAATAGTTTTATAAAACATACAAGATAAGCAATATCCAGTTTATGACTATAGTAGGCATATTCTTATTATGAGTGCACATTGAGATCACATTTCCAATTTTTGTAAACTGGATTTGTTAAATTAATTGCAACTTTCATGAAATCCACGAATCCTAAGATGGCAAAATAGGAAAATCCCCAGGAACAAAACACCAGCTGGAAGTTGCCAGCTGATTTTTTTGTGAGCCATTCTTTCAGACTTTGCCAACTTTTGATTTTCAATTTGCTCACCACGAGATTCACAAATTTGCAATTGCAACTGAGGCACTAGATTTAGTTTGCTCAAGTTGCAAATTAGACCTCATTGTCAGAGTTGCAACAAGACAAATTTCATCTCATTAAGTGGCTTCCATTAGGACTGCATATTAGATGGAAATATTTGCAACAAAACATTTAGAAATGAAATGTGAATCATATGCCATCCCTGTTTCCTCAAATCATCCTGTTTAAATTCCACATATTCAGCTCTTCCTCTAATATAATCTCTTTAATTATCAAATTCACATTTTTGCATTTTTTTTAACAGAAGAAAGTGCAATATGTCCAGTTCATAATTCATATAAATCATATTCTCTGATTTGCCGTCTTAAAATTCAGAAAGAAAAAGTTGCGTGTTGGTGAAATAAGAATGTGTGTGTGTGTGTGTGTGGCAGGAGCGTAAGCGAGCATTGGAGGCTGAGCGGCAGGCGCGTGTGGAGGAATTGCTGTTGAGAAGGAGGGAACAGGAAGCACGGATTGAGCAGCAACGGCAAGAGAAAGAGAGAGCAAGAGAAGATGCAGCACGAGAGAGAGCCAGGTCTGTAGGACTTTTCAAGCCTATTTCTGCCCCTTATTATCAATGATGACAGAAAGGCTAATGGGAAGGGAAAGCCCATCTTGTGTGATGGTAAAAGGGATCCTTTTTAGTTGGTCAACTTTGAGATTTGGATTTGTGCTGTAAAATTTATAAATGACGCATTGGCATCACTTATAAATTTCCAAGAGGGTTAGAAGCAAGCTGTATAATTTTATAGCTTGTGACTTCTTGATCGGATGTTATGAGCATTACAATAAATGTCTTGTCTTCTCTTTCCCCACCCCTGCAACTCACATTGCTGATTATTTTGTTGCCCCAATGGTAGGGATCGGGAGGAGAGACTGGCAGCACTTAGTGCAGCACAACAAGAAGCCATGGAGGAGCTGCAGAAAAAGATACAACTAAAGGTCTGATATTGCAACATTTTTGAACATGGGTTTATCCACGTGATGTTGATTTTAGTTGGAAATTTTTTTTAAAGAAAATATTGCATTTTAGACCTAGTTTAGAGTGGAAAAGGCTGTGAACTATTAGTATTTGGCATGGAGTATGATTCGATCTTTCCACCTGTTTTATTGTTTATTCAGCATGATGAAAGTAGCCGACGGCACATGGAGCAGATAGAGCAACGGAAGGAGAAAGCAGCCGAGCTAAGCAGCGGGAGACATGCTAACACTGACTTCGCTCCCAAACTTACTCCGTACGAACGTAAAAAGCACTGTTCATTGTGCAACGTGCTGGTAAGTTTAAACTTATTAAAAATCTGCTTCAGAGTAGTAACAAAAAGATGTTATTGCATGATCAAACTTTAGTCTTTAGATATTTGTTTTGACTGGAAGATAGATATAAATCAACTTTGGACGATGAGGGGTCTGTACCCAAAGCCAATTGAGATTAATTCTGCCATTCCAGACATATAAAATTGGTCTTAAATTAAAGCATCCCACTGCTGCAAAACTGCAGTGAATGATGCTTTCACTGTGAGGCAAAGGGTAGCGTTACACGATTGAAATAGAAGTAGTCTTAGGCACACTGAAAGCTCTTTCCACTTCAAGCATCATCTCGTATTAAACACATGAGTGAAATTTATGTAACCCACTTTTCTGCCAGTAGATTTAGTTTCCATGTGAAATGTGCCAGGATAGTGTAAAACCAGTGTCTTGATCTAAGAGTCCACCTTCAACTGCACCTCTTGCCTCAAGGCAACGACTACGCAATGTCATGTTATTCATCATTTTATTTCTATAGCTAGAACAGTATGGTGGAGCCCAAATCAATAGGCCAAACGTCAGCAGCAGCCAGAGATCGATGTAAAGAATGAATAAAGTTGTATTTTTATAGCACGTTATGTTGAAAAAGCTCAAATGCTTCATATTAAAAACACAGTTAAGTCTAGTGGTTATTTCTGTACGCAAACACGACAATAGTTTTGCGCACAGCCAGGTCCCCAAAACACTCATGATCTGAATAACCTATCAATCTGATATGATTGCTGGTCAGGTTATGAGGAGAGACTCCCTTCTATTTTTAAATAGTATTGTGGGATCTTTAATGTCCACTAAAGAATAGGCGTACAGGACTTTGAATTAACATCTTATTGAAAGATAGCACCCCTGACAATAATACCCAGGATTGCACTGGAGCTTCCTTCAAGACACGGATATTACTCTTGAATGGCTTGTCCAAATGTTTTACGGGAATATTTCTGCAGGCTCCTATGTTTTACTTATTTTTTGGTTCTACTGTGAGAAATATGCCCAGCAGAATGCTTGAAGACTACATACAGGCACTGATTAAAATGCCAGAAGTGAGTGAAAATAACAACTCAAGTGTTTTATTGGTTAATGTCATTGAACATTGCTGTTCGCAAATTGGCCGTTGAATGAGCCAAGTACACAGCCATAACACTACAAAAAATCCCTGAAGCGCTCTGAGACATTCCGATGTGCATTATATCAAAAAATGGAAAGATTATTATTATTAATTCCTGTTAACACATAGCTTTGGGTAAGAAGGAAATAAAACGCTGTAGCAATGGGATTAAACTATACTTGACCCATTGCTATCTTGTCTTTCGAAGATCACCTCTGAGGTCCACCTGTTCAGCCACATTAAAGGGAAAAAGCACCAGCAGGCTGTCCGGGAGAACAGCAGCATTCAAGGGAGGGAACTGTCAGACGAAGAAGTGGTAAGTTGCACCTAAAAGGCGTTGCACTAAGGGACATTCATCACCCTGGCACTTTCATATTCTTGACCTCTAATCTATGACTGTTCCAACTTTCCATCTCTGACATCCTTGCACTCTATACCATTGACCTCTGACATTTACGTTCTTTCAATTTTATGAACAACTCATCATTTATTTATAGATGTTCAAACTGTTTAGGGGGTAGAATTTCCAATCTGGATGCCTAATTAGAGTTAGCATGTATTATCACTTTTAATGCAGAATGTTGGGCGGAGAGAAATTCCGTGATTGTTGTTCAGCTACATGAAGAGGTTGATAAAAGTCATCAGCTGCAGAGCTAACAACAACAACAATATGAATTTATATAGCGCCCTCCACACCAGACGGCCTCTCAGAGCCCTTCACAGTAACGGATCCCGGGGCCGAGCCAGGGGGAGGGGAAGGAAGGTGACCGAGGGTGGAGCGGAGGACTCGGGGGACAAGGAGGAGGCCAGATCCGGAGGAACGAAGGCAATGGGCACTGTTTTGAGGAGAGAGGAGGTCAGAGAGGTAGGGGGTTGCAGAGGAGTGGAGGGATTTGAAGACAAGGGTGAAGAATGCAAGCTTCTCAAGCACATCGACTGTTATTGAGCCTCAGGAACCAAGACAGTGGAAGTGGCTTATGCAAGCTTTGCTGTTAAAAAACTCTAATGCCTCTTTTCACAACCGTTTTAGGATGTCATGAGCATGCTCAGTTAAGGAAATCAAGTAAGCCACTGGCCAATTATTTCATCCTTTACTCTGTCATGTGTCACTCTGGTCTATGGCGTAACATCCACCTAAAAGTACAAAAGAAAATCTTTCGCTATCCCCTCCCCCCAACCTTGCAATGAAGAAGACAGCTAAAGATTAGTAAAATACGAGAATGTTTTATTGTGCAACCTTCCTTCAATGTAAAACTTGGCAGGATGTCTTGTGCAATCTAGCATGCATTCGGCTCCTTCAAACATTACACTTCAGCCATTATGACAAGTTAAAGTCATCATCTTGTCTTTCAAAACAACAAATGGGCTTCTGTAAATTTCTATGCTTCTTTGGTTCTATCATCAACACATTGAAATGAAATAAACAGCATGTGGTAGTACTACTGCGAAACAAACAAATCACTTGTTAGGCTACAAAGTCATTTACTCCTTCTTCAGAACAAACAAGTATTGCAAAATTTAAACATAACCAATCTGCATTAAATGAATTCTGTCCATTTGGATTCTGATTAATGCACAATACTTGACAGCAACTAACGAATCTGAGATAGATGCTTGAAGGAATAAGACCACTTGCAGCATTTTTCTTTTAAAATTCAGCTTCTGCCTTCAGTTATAATAATGGTTGTGTCGTTGGTGACCTCAATTTAAAAACTCCTTTTTCAGCTGAAGAATACAAGGAGTAGGTATGCGGAGGATGGCTGACAGTGATAGATTGCAAGGAAAGGCATTCAAAAGTAATAATTCAGAGGTAAATAAAATTTAGTAGGGACATTGGTGCAATGCTCAAAGCACATAAACTCACATTTCTTTGTGAAAAGAACTCAGTAAGATGGTGCTAAACTGATTGTTTAGCATTTCAAGAAATAATATAGAGCCAGTTTATGTTTGGATAAAACACAAAATACTGCAGATGCTGGAATCTGAAACAAAAACAGAGAGAGCTGGGAAAACTCAGCAGGTCAGGCAGCATCTATTAAGAAAGGAAAGTGAGTCAACGTTTCTGACGAAGGGTGGTGGACCCGAAACGTTGACTCACTTTCAACAACAACAACAACAAGATTCCATTTATAGAGCGCCTTTCACGTCAGGAGGACGTCCCAAGGCGCTGCACAGTTGGAGTTTCCTTCTCCACAGTTTCCTTCTCCATAGATGCTGCCTGACCTGCTGAGTTTTCCCAGCTCTCTCTGTTTTTGTTTATGTTTGTATAAATCACTTTATGCCCTGGCACACCCTACCTCTCTGACCTGTTTCCATCCTACTCTTCTACTCACCCCCTTCGTTCAACTGGCTCCAGCCTCCTGCACGACCCTCTTCCCCTCCGTTTCCACCAGACAAACTTTCAGCCACGATGCTGATAGGATGATAAGAAGGTGCTGATATTCTGACACAATTTGCCAAGTTGGAGTACACTGATCCCTGCAGTTTGTAAGGAAACTGAACAAAATATACACTCAATTCACTTTACATTTATTATAAACCACTATTCAAATTGGATACACTATTTTAGCTCTGCCAATCAGATTGTAGCTGGACAGAACCAGACTGGTTCAGTCCCTCCAGGGCAAAGACAGAGGAAACCTTCCCCTGAGGAGTCCGAATCCTGAAGAATTTGAGTCGAGCAAGGTCTGAAGCCATATCTTGTAGGTTATATATTCATCCTTGGTTTATTATGAATGTTGACCTCACCCAGGAAAAATCATCATGTTCATTCCAATAGGAACTGAAGGGAACTGCTCGAATTCTCGGTGCTGAATGAATGAACTAGGTATGGAGAGCAAACGCTAAGTACAGGGTTTATGGATGAATTTCCTACTTCCTTTGGAAAGAAATACATTCTTTCCTTCCTAAATAACCACGATTGATGGCAAGCAGATAACTTCACCCTTGTCACCAAGCAAAATTGCCAAATATTCTTTTATAGTTGTTCTTTTAAACCAAAATGATCACTTTGAATTTTTTCTATTAATGTCTTAAAGGCCATAAGTTATTACTGTATATAGATATAAATCTGGCAGAATTTATGTCCAATCTTAAAATTGTTTTAAAAGGTAAGGTCCTCTTTGTTTTAATAGACCATCAAATTATGAGTTTATAACCTAGAATTCAACTATCAGTATCATAAGGGTCCACTTCAACAGGAGAAATGTATTCTCTCAGATAGTTCTTCTTTAAGGCCACTTATTTCCACCCAATTTCTCTTCACCTGCTTTTGTCAGGCAATTATATATTTCTCTATTGAGTTGCAGTGACTCACTCTTTGGTGCCTTCTCCCTCTCCTGGCATCTTTGGGAGCACCAGACAACTTTTCTTTTGATCTTCCTGAGAGCATCCTTGCAGTGAATCTGACAAATCTCGCAACCTGAATGTGCACATTGATCTTAACAAAAGACCAGAAAGCTAAAAACAACAGTAATGGCAAACATTTGCAGTCCTTCAAATGCTATAACCACCTGCTGCGAGATTAGGTATACATAAAATAAAGTTTAATTTGCTCGAGGTAAATGACAAGCGATAAAACTCTGAAATAGGATACTTTATATTTTTATATCAGCCATAAAAAAAAATTAGACAGGACGTTTGTTCATCCCATGTTGAGGAGCAGTAGGAATATGTCACACTATTGATTCATTCAAGAGTATGAAAGCTATCTGGCATAATTCTTGCCGTACTTCTGAGTCAGGCTGTGTGGCTCCTTCGGATGACACATTAAACTGAGGTCCCGTCTGCCTGCTCAGGTAGATGTTAAAGATCCCGTGGCATTGTTTGAAAAGAGAAGGGGAGGTTCTGCTGGTGTGCTGGCCAACAATCCTCCATTAACATTGGTCACTCCCTCCATGGCTGTTTGTGGGACAATGCTGTGCGCAACTTGCTGCTCATTTCGTCCACAAAAGACACAGTCAATCCACTTTACAGTATATCCAAAGTGCTTTGAGACATCTAGACGACATGAAAAGGCGCTATATAAATTGCAAGGATTATTAAGTGTAACTCATCGTAAGCATGTACTTGTAAGGATCTAATTCGTGATTCGTAATTCTTAATTGCGATGTTTATGGAGAAATCCGAGTCTCACAAATGGCTCTCCTTCCTGTTACCGGGAGCATGTCAAACTCCACATGACAATACATGACAATACTTTAGCACAATCTACTTCCAAGAGTGGAGTTCTCAAATACATTGATAGTAATTCTAATGGGATTTTTCATTAATGAAACCACAAATCAGATACCATAAGTACATGTTTTCTTGGGAGTTGACAGGTGGTGATCTGTTTGAAATTTGGTCATGATGGGGGTGATAGACTTGTGGAGCCTGGTGCGAGAGAGGACATGAACTGCATAGTTCTGAATGGTCCGCAGCTTCTGGAGGTAGTAGTACTTTAGCTTCCCCATCTTTTATAACAACTCTTAAAAATTAGAGATTCTAAAATATGTGAATTAGTTACCTTAACATCCTGAATGCCGGAGCAGTTTAATGAAAAAGTATTTCCCTGAAGTATGAAAGCGTACCTTGAGATGCAAATGTAATGGCGCTTAATCTGTCTTGTGATAATCTATTCCAGCACTTTGATCTAAACCTTTGAGACATAACACTTGTGTGTGAAATAAGGTGTCATTACTTCATTCTTCTTTTAATGAATTCTTGGGCATGAATTCTGATATTTAGTCCAAACTGCACAGCCTGAAAGGTGAGAACTCTGAGAAACGCCTGCAACTGTGTGGCATTAATTTGGTGGCATTGAACAGTATGTATTTTCTTTCTCCTTATTGACTGTTCCCAGCTGTTTGGGCACTCGCTGAATGATAAATGAATCAGTGCGCTGGACTTCGAATATGATGTCTGAATCGCATATTAAACGTTAGTTTATATTCAGAGATGAGCAATTGGGATAGCTGCTTCCAGCCCCCATTTTTCATCACGCCCATCCTTGAGATGGACCGTTTGTAATTGTCATCCAAGTGGCTGTGGGACAGCTGGCCGACTTGTCATCTTATATGAGAAGATGTTCTGTTACTGAAGGGGTGTAGATTTCAGAGAGTGGGATTAGTTTGTTTTGTTCAGCTATCACTTTAGACAGGAGCATCAATGGTGAATAGATCGTGTTAGTGATAACTACTTGAATCTGTTCCACACCTGCAGGTGGACAGGGTGGTTATGTTTCATCTCTCCCAGTCTCAGGCAGGCAGATTTTAAAGGTTTTGGTCATGCATTCAGACCAGAACTACAGAAATTATTTGATTCATGTGTCATAAAATTTTCCAACTTTTTCAATCCATTTGTGCTTTAAATACTAGCCACAGGAACTCGTTTTCAAATATTTAGCTGTGTATTTGTTTTACGGTTTCCTCTACCTACATGAATATCCCTCTCTCTTTGTGCATTGTTTCATTGTGTTTTGGCATCTGATTTTGAAGCCAGGCTGATGGCATCAAAGTCTGTTCTCTACTAAATGTCATAGACCTAATGTGAGGTCATTGAACAGTCTGTGTTCAGTTTCTGAATTGAACATGAATTGGCAATTCCAGTTACAGTGGAGACAGCGATGCAGAGAGCAAGAAATGGAAAAAATTGCACTGGTGCAGTAAAAGGTGCTAATCTGAGGCTGGCAATGGAGCATTTGCATTTGGACAGCAATTTGACCTGCATCTTTGTCTTTTACAAATGATAATTATTTGTTGTTGTAAAACATGTCCCTTTCTAGGATTGCACCCACAGCAGTAGAAGTATAAATTACCAGGCTAGGAATTGTAGGAGGGAGGAAGAAAATTGGCCATGGCTTCTGCATCTGATGATATCTAATGAACCCCACTACAAGCAGTGGATATTCTACTGTAAGGTGTGGTTGTTGGGTGGGGACAGAATCTGGAATCAGTTCTGTTGCCCCCACAATTGTACAGCATTCTGGCATACCAGTTGAAGAAGGTATCCCATTTTATGCTGAAGTCACCACATTTACTGCTCCATTAATAATTTCTTACTCTTGGGAAAGAGAGTAAATTTAGTATGAATGTATTTCCCTTATTCTGTAACTAAAGCATTGAGGCATGGAATTCCATCCAGTTTCAGCCTGTAATACCATGTTGGTAAATTCGCTCATGTTTTTCCACAGTTCTGAAACAGAACTATTTCTAAATTGTGACTGGATTTAATTGTTTTCCAAATTCTGTGCGATCTTAAATTTTAAGCTAAAATTGATGTTCAGAGGTGGAATTTTGTGCCTCTGGTTCTCATGACAGTTCTTCTTGATGATCTCGCTCTATTGGTATGCTTTTATTCCTATGTAAGCCACACAGTGTGATGGACGTTGAACCTTGTGATCATTCAGGTAGTAAGATGCCTTTAATTCCCACAGTGCAGAGAATGTTATGTTGTGCAAGTGTATTTTTTTTTAACAAGTATAAAATAACAGTGCTTTGGAACTGTGACAGTAACACAGATGTGTGAAAAAAAATGTATTATTGCTTTTTTTTCGGGGGGGGTGGTGGGGGAGAGAAATGATATACTCTGAATGCTGTCCTCCATCAGATCTGCATTAAATCATCCCGCAGTGGGCTTTCTTCAGAATCCATTTTACATTTTGTGATATCCTATCAAACAAAACTCGTAAATGCAATAAGTCAAGCGCTGCTAGATGAACAAAAAATATTGCCTCTCCATTTAATGTCTGCCAATTTATTTGGCAAATTTTAGATTTCTAATTATTTTGAGTCTGTAAAAAATTGTGACCTTCTGTGTGAGGGTGAGAGAAACTATTAAATACTGTGAATTTATGCAATGTAATTTTGTTACTTTGTGAGGTATTCTTGCAATATCAGCACAGTCATGGGGACTGCATCAGCAGCACATACAGCTTCTTATCAAATGACAAATGCTTGCAATTCTGTCTACTTTCACCTCAAAATTTACGCAGCTGGATTTTATAATAAATAATAATCCTTGCATTTGTTATTGGATTTTACCAGGTTGATATGTGTCAAAATACTTCATAGGAAATTGCTATCAAGTGTAGTGACTGTATTTGTAGGCAAACCAAGCAGCCAATTTGTACATAGAAAGATGCCACAAACTGCCACAAAGTAAATTACTAATTTATCTGGAAGAGTTTTGGCTTGGGTAACAATCTTGGAGGAACTCCCTTCTTTTAATTTCTGGTTTATTTCAATGCGAGATCCCTTGAGAAAGGCACAACGCAATTCCCTGTGTTGCAGAAATTCTTCCTATTGAGGAGATAGTATTCTAAGATATGTAGATGAAAACCATGGTGATGGTAATCTGGATTTCCCACTGCTGAGCTCCCAATCCCAAATTCACCATCAACAGAAAAGTGGCGAGAGGTCAGGAATAACCAGCTGACCGAAAAACTAGATTGTTAATAGCTTTTGTGATTTGCTGAATTGAATTTTTACATGAATGAACAGTTGATTTGAAGAGTCTCTTATACATGAGAGTACATTAGAATATTCAGCACAGAAACAGGCCATTCAGCCCAACTGGTCTACACCGGTGTTTATGCTTCACATGAGCCGCCTCCTCCTCTTCCTCAACTAAGCCTTCAAGCATAAACTTCTATTCCTTTCTCCCTCGTGTACCTATCTAGCTTTCCCTTAAATCCATCTATGCTATTTGTCTCAACAACTCCTTGTGGTAGCATGTTCCACGTTCCCACTACTCTCTGTAAAGAAATTTCTTCTAACTTCCCTATTTGATCTATTTGTTTATTATTATAATTATTAACTCATAAATAAAAGTAATTTCAGCAACACCAATGTTAATCTTGAAAACGTAAATGCTCTTTACATACCTCCCCCATTCACGTGTAAGTGAGTTGACCAGAATTGTATGAGGACAACAATGCTGGTGATGGTAAATGGGCAGATTCTACAGATGGAGCAATTGGCTTGGTATTAAGGCAAAAAGGTGGAATTGATTTATTGTATCTTGTTATGACTTGTGTGTTGGTGTAAATGGAGAGATGAGGATGTCTTTTTTGTGTGTGTATTTTAACTTATCGCTCCTTTCTTGGGTTTCTTGGTTCTCTCTATCAGTAAACCAACAATTAAAGGTGGCAGTTGTTCAGATGGGAGTCTAATTTGCAAGATTCCCCAGTAAAGGCAAAATATCCTTGCATTTATTATGTCTTTTTATTTAATTTAAATGTCATTGAAAGGTGCTATGCGATTATTATTGTAAATGCAGTATTAGGTGATCAAGACTGAATTTTGAGATGCGATTGTAGCTTTGAAATTGGTTCAGTGTCATTTTTTGGTTAAATAAATTGTGTCAATTAATAATTATTTTATTCAGTTCTATTTGGCTGATAACAGCTCTCACTGCTTTTAGTTGAGATCATATGTGATGGTGATAATACTGAATAATTGGCACATTTATTGGTCAATGATGGGCAGATAATAATAATGTGCAGATTCTACCAAGAGTGAATATAGCATTTTTTCAATAGCTTCTTAATCCCATAGCCCCTGTTCAGCATTACATCTCATTTTAGTTCTCTCTAGCTGCAGTGATAATTGAGCTGCTCCTAATAGTGTGAGGTGATTCCTGATACCTGATGGAGCATTGTACCGATAATCCATTTACATAGATATGGGTCATTGAGCATTCCTAGCCCTGTCTGGTGGAACCATAAGCAGAACCAAGAATTGCTGTGCCAAAGAGCTCTAGAGGAAATGATCAGAAGCCTGAAATTCATAGAATTTTACAGCACAGAAGAAAGCCATTCAGACCATCATGCCTATGCTTTATCCTTAAAACTATTGTCATAGAAATATTTATAGTGTGGAGAATTTTGGCAAATGCTTAAATTCAGTCTTAATTTGGATTCCAGTTTTTCTCAGCATTTAAAGAGAACTGGCTCCTAAATCAAGATCGAATTTAAGAACTTTCCAAACTTGTATACAAAATTAATATTGAATGGGGAGTATCAGGAGTAATAATGGGGTTTGGCCTGTTATTAGGATCTAAAATGGAGTGTTCACAACAGGATTTGAAAGTGACTCATGAATATCAAGTTGTGCAGATAACTAACTGGGTGTGTGTCACTACCCCACAGGAACTCTTGACACAACCACCTTGAACACTCACAGTGAAGATTTATACATGAATAATGGCCACAAGAGTGAGTTAGTAGAGGAAACCCAATGTCTGCTGACTTGCCTCTGGTGGAAGAAAAAATGAGCCAAAACGTGTTCAGGAGAGAGAGAAAATAAATGTGTTGCTTGATAAATTCTAATTCTATTTAAGGTGAAAGTTTACTTCAGCAACTGATTATCAAAAACCTTTTGTTTCATCAGGAACACCTATCCTGCAAGAAATACATTGTAGACATTGTGACCGAGACCTGCATTCCGACAGAACCCATAAAGGATGGGGAAGAAAAGCAGAAAACCAGGAAAAAGGCCAAGAAACTTCGAACACGCATGAACTCCCGGTAATATTAGACATTCTCCAAATATGAATCCTCTATCTTAATAAATAAAAATGAACAGGTTTAGTATTTTTATATTTAAAAAAGTAGTTATTTGGTTCATGGTTATCCTGGAAAATACAGTGATAACCCTAATTTATAGCCACTTTCTCTGATTGGAAAAGAAAACTGAAAATCGATCTGGAGCCCTTACTTTCACCTGTTAAGAGCTTTTCTCATAATTGGCTGCCAGGACCCAGCCAAAACTCCAGCTCTCTGCTGCATACAATAGTATGTTTAAGTATGTGTAAACCATGCCTATTTTTCTTTCCACGTATTGATTTTTAAATGAAGTATCAAAGAAAAATCAATAGCAATCAACAAATAGAAGGCAATATGCAGGAGTGTCAGATCCCAGGCTGGGTTTAATCAATTTTGTTGCCTGTCACAAGAGGGGGAAAAGTTGGAAATGTCCTGAAATGTAGACCTGCTTGTCAGACCTGCAGTTTGTCATAAGGCTGGAAAGTGACATCTGTGGATCAGAGTGGTATACAGCATGTCGTTCTATCATCAGCTGTCACCATTCTCTTTTCTCTCTCTCTTTCCACACACCCCCACGCCCCCCACCCACATATAGACACACACTCACCCATCATAGCCTTCCAGATAGAGTGTCACCTGCTGTGGTTATTTTGCTTTGAAGCATCACAGCAGCAAATGGCTTTGTATTATGTTACCCACAGACCAACTGAGGCAGATTCTCCAAATGCAGTGGTAAATGAATTGTGGAGTGAATGGCAAGACATGTACCACACTTAAAACCTGTCAGTTTATTTTTGCGTTGACTAATCTAGCATCATCCATCAATATTCTGTGTTTAAGCAGTGACAAGTGTCCCTTGGATTTCTGAGTCTTACTTACTGTTATTCCATGTGTAAACGGAGGATTGTGTTATATCTAGCATGACAACTTTTTCCCCTTAGTTTTAGATTTTGTTTTTCTTGCCTGTTAAGGGTTTCTTTTGCCCTGCTCACTATTCCATGGTTAGGAAGGTAATTTGCTCCCAAGTATTAGCCAGGTCTGCTGTTTGTTATAAGGCTGACAAGTGACATCTGTGGATCAGAGCATGTCGTTCCATCATCACCCCCCCACCTCCCCCAGTCCACAAACACAACCTTCCAGATAGTGTCACTTGCTGTTTTAGTATCTAAAACAAGTTGCATTGATATAACATCTTTCTCTAAAATAGGTGTCTCAAACTACTATGCAAAAATAAAATTGATTTGAAATGAACATAATTCCCAATGGTTGAAATACCCATGAAAATTTCAACTTTCTCAAATGTCTATTAAGCTAAATACATTGACGATTGGGAGCTGCATTCTTGGTGTTAGAGGGCAGGATGGAGTGCTAAGGCTAGTCACCCAAAAGTATCAACAGTCTCAGAAATAGGGTTCTAGTTGGGGAGTGAAGCCTCTCCAATTCGATGCATTATAAATAATATAATAATATTCTCTCTAGACACAGGGAAATTTCTGTATGTAGGTGTCCTGCATATGCAGAACTCCATCTGGTTGGAGCATAGTACTGGGTTTCCGCATTTGGCAGACTGTCAAAAAGGAAAAACTCTAAATAGTTTTTAGAATTTTAATTAAATATTGCTATAATTTTAAAAGTCATCACCCTAAAATATTCTGTCGTTTTTTCTGACCACATCCACACTAGGCATCTTTTTAAAGTGTGCACTTGTGAGTGTTGATATTCTCCTGACAGTACTGTTGCCTCAGCAGACTGATTTACTGCATAGAAATAAGGTTAATTTAATTTTTTTAAAAATATTTTTGGTCTTGCATTATAGTAAACAAAAGCACTTGAAAACCCCCAGTTTATATCAAAAATAGCCTCCCCGCAGCTCTAAGGATGAAGCATTTGTTACAATTAACATAAACACTAATATTAGAAATAGCTTAGAGAGGCAGCCGGAGATCAGATGGAACTCATTGATAGCTTGCTTTATGTGCTTTTTGGTATTTACATTAGTTTATGAAAAATGAAGGTCATTTTGACCCCTTGCTCCTAAAACTCTGAGACCATGGAAAGATTTAGTGGGTCATGTCTTGACCTTCAGTCCGATGGAGACTATCTCATGCCACTTCAGATGTAAAACAAAAAAAACTATAGATTTTTCTTGTGAGATTAGATTTGCCTTTCAAGCTGAACTTGGGGTTCCTACGCCTACTGCCATTTTTTGTAAATGGTTCAATGAATGAAATTGAGTTTGCAAATAAATGTTCTGGATGCATTAGTCTTTTGCTGTGCCAGCACAACATTTTTGCTGTCAATGCAGGCTCTTTATTTGAGCAGCTGGGCATTGATAATACAAAAGTAAATCCCTGTTTGTATTTTATTTAGTTTGAATGCCCTTATAGTTCTACTTTTTAAAATGTACCTTTATTTAGGATACAATAAGGTTTTTCTCACGCAATAGGAAAGGTGTGCAACATGCTGAAATTGAAATTCTTATTGAGGGGTTAAGCTACAATGGAATCATTAGTCTTTTGTTACTACAGCGAGTCTGTCTGTTTCCTTGAAACGATGATACGTTTATTACAATAAAGGTGGCTTGCCTAAATTTGTAAAATATTTTAAACAGAATTGAATAATTCTTTAAGGAGAAATGATTGTAAAAGAAGTTGAATAATGAGTAGAAAATTGGGTTTAGAGATTGCTCCAAAAGAGGTATTAGGATTACAATAGCTTCGATGGTGCTCCTTCTGTGCTGTTATTTCTGAGTTGACTGTATAGATTTCCTCATGATATCTCAAAACTATAGTTCCACTTTAATCTTCTTAATTGGATTTTTCCTGAGCTTGCTGAGTTACTTGACAAGTTACTTCCTGTATTCAAACTAAGAATATATTTTAAAACTGTCAGTCACGCTGAAGAGATTCTGTGTACAAAAAAAATTTCAAAAGACAAATTTGCCATTTGTTAATTACGATCCTCTCGTTTGGCCCTACAGCTTAACACACCAGGTTGAATGCATTTGGTTTCGACCAATGTTGTAACCAGATGTTTAGAAAATGAACAGGAGCAATTTAAAGGGAACAAATGTCATTTCAAGCGTAAATGATTAAAAAAAAACTATCTACCTTCTCTGTAGGAGATTTTGCTCCACACTTTTAAACTCCCTGTGACAAACTAGCCAAGAAAATCTAGGATAACACAGGTACAGGTGTGAACTGCTGAACTCCTGGTTTACCTATAAAATAATTTTTAATATTAATACGAATATTGGTTCGAGATGCTAGTTGTACAGGTGCGTGCACTGTGGAGAGAATGATGATGTGTCATTTTAAGACTACCTTTATTCACATGCAGCCCCTTGGAGCTAGATTCAGACCTCTATTCCTGGCAAGATAGTCAAAAGATTCAGTGGATATTCTGTCACACTGTGGACAGGGGGTAAATGAAGGGACAAGTCATGATGAATTGAATATTATCAGCTCTACTTGGCAGCTTTGTGATCTCACTGACCGTTAATATTTATAACCAGAAACCATTTAGCCAAATCTGTTTGAAGAGTTATATATTGCCCAGCAATTGCTCCCAGTTTAACCCCTCTCTTTATAAAACTGTCAGCTCTGTGAGACTATAATATCCAGATCTCAAATCTAAACTGACGGGCTATTGACGGGAGTCTGTGTACAGAACAAAAGGGAGGCAAAATATACAAGGTTGCAAAGATCAGGGGAAACAACCAACAGTGTTTAGTTATAAAATTTACAAGATAAGATTAATCACGGTGTACAAAATTGTTTTCTGATTCTCACATTCTATAGAGTGGTCATCTGTAGAAGGACAGTGATGACTTGTCTGTGAAAATGAGAATCATACATAGAATCATACAACTGGTAAAATTAAACCTATTTATTATAAATACTAACACCAAACATCTCAGGAAAACAAGTTGCTATTTCCAAAATAACTAATTGTTTTTTCCAAAATAATTTCCAACAGCAACTAGCTTCATGAAGCTAAACTCAAGATATTTCTATCGATTTATAGATCCTCTTTCTTCCCCCCACCATATCTCTTTATTGTTGGACCCCCAAGATGCCAAGCATTGCTAAGAACCCCCCCAACCCAGTCAATTTCAGTATGTTATTTTTGTTTGTTTTTAAGAGCTGTTATGTGACTGTTTTAAAAACATTAACAGAAGTAATGCACTCATTAAAGATTTTTAAAAAAGTCAATTTAAAAGTTCCTTGAAATCCTGAGAGCTTTAATAAGAGGATAGTGGAGTAAGCGCAGCATGTTTCACACCAATCACATTCGTAATACAGTAGGTACAAAGCACACTGCTCCAAGAACCAGCTCTTCTGTGTTGGCTGAATGTGATTTAGAATACACTGCCAAAATTGCAGCAATTAATTGTCAAACTTACAGCGCAAGTAAATGTCATGTTTCCAAGCTCCATAACTAGAGCTAATGTACATGGTTTGTTGAATGAAAGTTCCTGCTAATTTTATTGCTCAAAAGGATACTGAGAACTGATTTGCTCTTCAAAGACTCTTATTTCAGCATAAACCTCATAGGAACATTAATAGTGATTTTTAATATACAGATCCAATTTAAACATGCTTTTGCCATCTGAGAGAAAGTGCTTCCTTCAGCAGTTCCTGCAAGATCAGGTTTAACCTTTAATTTATTTTACAAATATTTTCACTAAGTCACTAGACTGTTTTCTGCAGTTCTTAAAAAGATCTAGTTTCGAAATTATGACGAATTTAGAATTTTTCCACAATTTTCTGTGATCTTAAATTTTTAGAAAAAAATTTCTTTACACGTTCTAAGACTAAGTGGAATTTAGTGTTATGGGCTTGCTTGTTTTCCATAAAATATCATAATAATAATCCTTGCATTTGATATAGCGCCTTATCACATCTTCGAGACGTCTCAAAGCGCTTCACAGAATACACTGTAAAGTGAATTGACTGTGTATTTTGTGGGTGAAAATGCAGTTAAATGGAATTGCTGGATCTTGACCATGGATCTGTGGCTCCTTCTCTGTCCTTATTCTGAATTAATGAGATAAATGAGACGCACTTGATGATTTGATGTGTCTTGGTCTATTGTTGAAGTGATGGTGTCTTGGTCTCACAGGGTCACTAGAAGGGCGTGATCATTGTGTCACCTTATTAAAAGGAGCTGTTAAACCTGACACTGGTCATTAGCTTTGTGACATACTGCTGTGCTTTTCAATGCCCAGACCCTGCACACAGTGTTGCCCCCTGCACCTCACTAATCAATACTGTAAACTGCGAATGATACATAGAGGATAGCAGATACCTCTCAGTGAATTACAGAGTGTAATCCAATCATGGGGTTCGGATGCTGTCGGAATAGAAACGACAATGGTTTTGTGACCCCTCTCTTCACTGTCTCATACTCATGATTTTACACAGCAGTGATTTTTAATGAGTTGGTTAATCTTTGCAGCTCCATGATGTTTGCAAAAAGAGCAATACTTAAGAAGTGTGGATTTCATAATCACTGCAGTTCACTTTTCTTGTTTATTTAAAAAGCACAACAAATGGCATCCGTTGGTATTACAATTAATGTAACAACGACAACAACTTTCATTTGGATAGCACCCCTCACACAGGATAGCAAATAGCTTAAGGTAGTAATCCATTTTCTAGTCCTGCTGCTGTTCAAACACTCATTCAAGAAACAGCTTGATGCTGTTATTAGGAAGACAATGGCATGTATATCCATTCTTGTCATCTTTTTGAAATCCATGTCAGCAACAAACCTGTGATATAAATAGGGTAACACACTACAAAAATGTACATATTTAATGGTGGTCTCTTTGATTACTGTGAGCCTGGTTTCTACTCAAATATTAAAGGAGACATTAAGGACAAAAGCTGGAACTTTAACTGTTTGTATTTGTACTACTGTTAAATTATTTTAAGTCCCACAATGGGGAATTAAGATAATAATAATCCTTGTATTTGATATAGCGCTTTTCACGTCTTCTAGATGTCTCAAAGCACTTCACAGAATATATTGTAAAGTGAATTGACTGTATATATTTGTGGACGAAACGCAGCAGCCAGTTGCACACAGCTGTCCCACAAACAGTTGTGGATTGAAGTGACCAATTTGTTATTGCTTTTTTTTCTTGAGGGATTATTATCAGGTGTGTGGAGTAAGGAAACTTGCCCAAAGTTTCACCCTGCCGGGAATTGAATTCAGGTCTCTCGCTTGTGAGGCGAGTGCTCTAACCACTGATCTACAGGTCTCCACACAGATGAGCAATGGCAGGGTATTGTTTTACTTGAGTCTCTGAATCGCTTTCTACATTACTATGTGAAAAAACAACTCAGTCCTGTGACTCTCAGTGCCATATGAAATAAAGCAGCAATGTAGAGATTCAGTCATGTTTGCAAAGTGAACAGATTTGTACTTAAACTTTCACACACAAAAAATGTCTTGTGCAGTCTTGTCAGGTGGATTTGCACAGTGCCATTTAATTCAGTTTAGGGATTTTAGCTTGTAGTTGTCTTGAATTCTTAATATAAACAAGCCAAAAGTGATGCATCTTTAAAGTGTAGGGAGGCTGACAGAACAGTAGTGTGCAAACTAACTAATCATTCTGGCTGTTGGCCACTTGGCAGTGGCATATAAATGGCTGACTTTAATCTGGGGGTTTCCAGGAGCAGCAGGGCAGCAGAAATCCTACACAAATCTACAATACACTTCCTTCTGCTTTAACCCACTGAGCACTGGACATCTCTCACACGCTTCAAAACTCTCAGATTAGTATCATAGACTACTACAGCACAGAAGGAGGCCATTCGGCCCATCTTTTCTGTGCTGGCTCTTTAAAACAGCTATCCAATTAGTTCCACTACCCTGCTCTTTCCCCATAGCCTTGCAATTTTTTTCTGATCAAGTAAATATCAATTCCATTTTGAAAGTTATTATGCAATGCAGTCCTGTAAGCTTAGTGGTTAAAGCACTTGCCTCACAAGCGAGAGGACCTGAGTTCAATTCCCAAGCAAGGCGAAGTGTTGGGCACTTTCCTTACTCCACACGCCTCTGTTCACCTAGCAGTAAGTAGGAACCCGGTTGTTAGAGGATTGGCGGATTGCTTTTCCAGGGTAATAATGACTTCAATAAAAAATCAATAAATAGATATTATAATAACTTGGTCATAACCGCCTGTCCCAGCTGAGACCATCTAAATCAGCACAGACCTCGAATCAAACCTGAAGACTTCTGGTGTGTTAGGTTCTGTGCTACACTGGATGGTGCCTTACCCATTGTGTATTGGGAGGGCATCCGAATAACTTTCTACTACAAAACTGAACTGAGTGACCTGGTACCAATTCTGGTGGATAACTGACATGAGACATTGTGATAGGTGATGACTGGGTGACAGGTTTCACCTGTTACATGAAGGAGCCAAGCTGGGCAGTATCAGAACAGAGTGGTGTCTCTCATCTCTGGGAAGTATGGCTTTCAGCCAGTGTAAACAAAATACATTAGGGTGGTGGAACATTTTTCAAATATTAAACCAGTATTTTAAAGAATACTACTTTTTAAATGGGGGAAAGTTTTGAGAACCAAACTAGTCCACAGGTTTGTTTATAAGTGAATTTGCTGGATTAAAAAAATGTGTCTTTCTTCCAAATTCTACATTTAATAGCTATTGAGAATACACTCAAACTTGTTAGAAAGGAATTCAGAATTTTTACTTTTACCACAGGTACTTAATAACAATAATAATAATCCTTGCATTTGATATAGCGCCTTACCATGTCGTTGGGACATCTCAAAGCACTTCACAGAATATACTGTAAAGTGAATTGACTATGTATTTTGTGAGTGAAACACGGCAACTTTTTTTTATCTAGTGGCCGTTGTATGAAAGCACTTCAGTTTGAAAACAGCTTGTTCAGAGACCAGTGAATCCTCTCAGCAATTGACACACTCCTCTTCAAATAATTTGGATTCTTATGGAGCTTGAACTTATCAGGGAAGCACCGATCTGTTTCACTGCACAAACTTGAGGAATGCTGCATGTTCCTTCTGTCTGTTGAAAGATACGCTTTTGTAAAGATCAACAAAATAAATTTAAGATATGGTTGGTCACCAAAAAGTTGAGGGAGGACAAGAAGCGAACCCATTCTGCTTAAAATGGCAAATATTTTCTAACAGCACATTTACCTTTTGTTGAGGTGCGGTAGAGGTAATTGTGAGGATTTATAGGCGACCAGTATCAACAGTATGTTTTATGGCTGTGATCAAAGATTTTCTTGTTTGTTAGGTAATAATTTTTACTGCTGGGAAGTTATTCATCAAATGTTGTCATTTTTGCACTTGCCTGAGGCAAATACTACTTTTCAGATAACTCTCAAAAGTGTAAATACTATAATACTTGGTTATATTTTGAAATGTTCAACTTTTTAAATTGTCACATAATTGCTGTTATTATCAGTGTATTCCCACTTTTATTTCCCATACCCCCTTTTTTCAAGAATCCATAGGTATTTTTAAACATTTTGAACTCATGGAACAGAGCAACTTTTCTGCTTATATTGATCCATTTCTTCACCACTTCACTGTTACCCGTTCCTTCAGATGGGGTTTCAGGTTGTTTTGAGCTGCAGATTTTCCTTGATTTTCATCACTTAATATTGTAATACTCAGGCATATTTTGAAATTATTTATTTTTGTCGATGTTCTTGTAAGATTGGCTAAGTGTAGGAATTTTCCTGCTGGTTCTTATTTCTCCCAATAGTGGAAAACTCTGACCAAGACTTGGCCAGGAAGTGGATGACCATTCAAAATGAATAAAAATGCAAATTGAAACTGCTGTTTGAATTTATGACTGCAGTCCTAATTGGGAACTTAGCTGGACACGAGATAAAAGTGTTCTTTGAATTCTTCCTTTTATTAATTGGAAATTAATTTCAAAAAAGGAGCTGATCCGAAGATTTATATGTACTTCGGCACAATATAAAAACTATGTAAATTGACATTAAAGAATTAGAATGGAAGTGTTTATTTACAAGCAGCTAATTTTTGTAAATGGCTTTGAATTTTTGAGCAGCTCTAACCTTGAACAAAATCCTAAAATAAACACACTGAATGTTCAGTTGGCGTAAAAGACAACAGCAAATGCTTTAATGCTTTTCTTCCTCTTTCTGTTTTTCAAGGGGCAAAGAATATGAAACTTCTCTGGATGCCAAGATTCAGATTCCAGACTCTCCCTTCAAAGCCAAGTAAGTGTTGTGTAAAAAACTGAAACCTCTTGGACCTGCTGCCCTTCCACCCTACCATCAGCAACCAAGCCTTCAGCCATTATGATCCCACCTTCTGAAACTTCTCTCCCTCAACCCTCTTTCACCCCCTCTCTGTCTTCAAAAGAAAACTACCTTTTCGACTGTCTAGGGCCACCACTCTTCTCCCCCTCCCTCATATCCCCCGATCACTGTCTGGCTCATCTCTGTAAGCACTCTGAGACCTTACTCTTTATGAAGGGTGCTATATAAATGCAAGTAGTTGTTGTGCAAAAATGTCTTATTATTGTTAAATGAATGTGAATTCTGTTCACTTAAAGATTTTAATATGTACAGCTGAGGATAGCCATGAATTACTGCAGACGATTTGTTACAATACTGTTTGGTAGTTGTTTTGCAAAATATTGCTGGTCAATTCTTGGAGAAAAGAATTGGAAATATTTAAGTAATGTTAGTTTCTTGATGCTCAGAGGATTATACACCAGAAGTTGGTTTCTCATTGTACTGGTGTTCATTGCTTTATATAATGAAGATAAGAAACCAAGTGCTGGCATCTATCTATTAGATACATAATTCTATAATTATGCTCTCTTCATTAAAGTCAGATTTATTTCACTACTTTCCATTTATGTTTAGGAAGAAAGATCTGCAAAGTGCTCCAATTAATGCCTCAATAATCTAATTTTTTTTTTAAAAAATAGTCTCACTACCTCTTTGGAATATTAAATATAATTGTTACTAATCATGATATGCTTTTTGAAATGTGTATATATAATATAAGTGCTATCTCCTTAGCAGAATGAGCTGACATTGAGGAGTTACTGAGTCCAGCAATGTGAGGGAGGCCAAATATAACATCAAAGAAATGATCAATTAACCAACTTCTTCAACGAATATGTTGTTTCAACTCTTATACATTAATTCAACACTTTCAAACTGTCAGTCTAAGTAACTGCTTTAAGCTAATATCCTAAATGAGTCTTCGGCACTCAATGTTCTGCACACTTTTCCCTCGTTTCATCTTATAACAGGGCAAACTTCCTAATTCAAATAGATGCCAAGATTAATCTGAGAGCATCCATCTGGTAACTTGGGTCTTGAAAGGACCACCTTAGGGTAACTACGTTCCACGATTTCTGTAGCTAAGATTGACAGATGCTTTGGGGGTGACTGCCTTGCTCCAAGGCTGTCCTAAAGCTGGAGGTTCTCAGAGACCAAACCTGGTTTTACAATACAATTAATGTTGTTATAGCGCCTTTCATGTTGGGAGGACATCTTAAAGCACTGACGATACTGGCTGGGCACCCAAGCTGGGGTTGGGGAGGGGAAAGGTGACCTAAAGTGTGTTTTTACAGATCTTCAGTGTAAATTATTGACAGGTTGAATTGGGGAGGACTATTAGATTACCATCCAGAAGCATAGATTTGAAACCTTTGAAGACATTCAGCCTCCACATAAAAAGTTCTCTCCCTACCCACTCCTTGTTTCTCTTTGGCCTCCACTGTATTCCTGGCTGTTTTGTTAGGGCTGAATACTTTTGCTTTACTCAGGGACTCAGTCTTGTCTCCCAATTCTTGTCAAGGAATTGAGGGACGACCCATGTTGATACCTTATAAAGTTAGAAAACATTACCGAATCCCATGGGATGACAGCAGTATTGTATATGGACAGTGCATTTAATTTTTTTAAATGAGGAAAACCATACCGTGGTAGGTAATCCAGCATTCAATAGGATTAACCTTTCACCCTAACGAAAGAGAAAGCAGGTGGGAAATTGAGCTATGCTTTTCAGAATTTAACAGAAAATGTCAAATAAATTATAGTGTCTCACAAGTTTTTTTTAAAAAACTGGGTGGTTTTATGCTTTTCGTCTCTTTAAAATTGTGTTTTGTTGACTTTCTGCTGGCGATGGCTTTTCCAGTTCAATCACAAACACAACCTGCAATTTCAGCAGCTCGGCCCAAAGTGCTACTTTTGTAGATCTACAAAAGAAAAATTGGGTGCCTCCAAACAAAAAAAGCATGTTTGTGACCAAGTTACTGCTAGGGGGAAAAAAGTGCAAGACTGAGGGCCCATTTAGTCTTTGTGTATTGGATACTACTTCCCATAATGCGTCATGTTAGCTGTCATTGTTCACAAAAAAGATTTACATGAGTGCCTGAGGATCTGTTTAAGATTATCAGCATTTTCAGAGTACAAAGACTTTTCCGTTCTTTATACTAATTAAAAGTGTATTTTTAAAAAGTAATGATATTTGGACATGAGAAATAATTCATATGAACACTTTTATTAAAATATCAGGGTTCTAATTATGGCATGATTCAATGGTCCGTCCATGCGCAGCACAAGCCAAGAGTCTCCTGCTAAAAAACTTATCGAAGCTGGTAGTGTTTATCACAAGGTGACTGAAAAAAGAGTCAAGAAATTTTGTTACAGTTGTATAAAATGGTGGACCTCATTCGGAGTCTTGTGTGCAGTTTTAGGCACCAAACCTTACAAAGGATATAGTGTGCAGTGTTGATTTACTAGAATGATTCCTGGGGTCAAGGGCCTAAATTATGATGAAAAGGACGGAAGAACTTGAATCGTATTCCCTTGAATTCAGGAAGTTGACGGGTGATCTGATCGAGGTGTATAAAATTATGAAGGATTTGACAGGCTGAATCGTGAGCAACTGTTTCCTCTGGTGAGAGAATTGAGGAATAGAGGCCATAGTCTTAAACTTGAGGCTAAACTGTTTAAAAATGAAATAAGGAAACATTTTTTCATGCCACAGGTGGTAAGAGTGTGAAATTCACTCCCCAGAGGGCAGTGGAAGCAGTCAATTGAAGAATTTAAAAGACAAATAGATAAATACTGGATAGACAAGGGGTTTCGAGGGATATGGAGATTGGGTGGGTAGGTGGAATCGAGTTGCAAAACAGCTATGATCTGAGAAAATGTGGTCAGGCTCGATGGGCTGAATGGCCTGCTTCTGTTCCTATGTTTTGCTGATTTCAAATTAACATTCAATGTGTAACCGAGCATACATAGTACTGAGAAGGGTGGAGAAAGAACTATGAAATAGAATTATTGCTGATTTTATAACAAATTTGTTTGTATATATTGCTTGTTGAACCACAAACATAGTTTTTTATTCCTTGAGATGTGCCTAAACTAAAGCTTAAACTCATATGAATTAACTCTTGTAAAATGGGAAGTTTGCAATTATTTTAACTTTTTCAAGCTCATTCAATATCTTTTCTGTAAAATGTTATAAAATTACATTTGATTTGCTTAAACCTTTTAAAACTGAAAATTTGTGTGGCCTGAGATTTGACATGTGTAATCATTCTACTGTTATCATCGGCGTTTTATTCTTTGTGCGCAGACTCCAGAGATTAGTTAAAGATCTTCTGAAGCAGCAGCAAGGACAAGACAGTGGGCCATGGGCAAACAACAAGGTGTCTTCTCTGGATAGGACGTTGGGAGAAATCATCCGCATTCTGGAGAAACAGGTAATAGCAGTAGTTTCAATTGTAGAACCAGAAAAGGCATTGCAGTCTGTCGGTCCCAAAGTATGAATAAATAACTCTACTCTATCTCGCACACCCCTCAATTGATTTGTTCATCAAATAGCTATCTAATTCCCTCTTGAATTTGCTGACAGTCTTTCTCCACCTCCTCACTGAGTCGTCATATTCACCACTCTGTGCAGAGAAACTAAATTCATCTTCCTTATGAGTTTGAATAATAATAATAGTAATAATCCTTGCATTTGATATAGCGCTTTTCACGTCTTCTAGACGTCCCAAAGTGCTTCACAGAATATACTGTAAAGTGAATTGACTGTATATTTGTGGGCGAACGCGGCAGCCAATTGTGCACAGCAATGTCCCACAAACAGTCGTGGATTGAAAATGACCAATTTATTATTGTTTTTGTTTTTTGGAGGGATTATTATTAGGCGTGTGGAGTAAGGAAACTTGCCCAACTTGCCCTGCCTGGAATTGAACTCAGGTCTCTTGCTTGCAAAGTGAGTGCTCTAACCACTGAGCTACAGGACTCCTTGTCCAGGAATCCATGCTGCTTGTCATAGAGTTTGTGGCCTGTCAAAAAATTAATGGGATTCTGTTTACCCACTAATATTTTAGTAAGATTTCCCCTGAGGCTTCGCTTCTCCAGTGTGAACAGTTCCAGTTTCTGTAGCTTCCTTGTTACTCAGGCACTCAATTCCAGCCATCAGTTTAGTTGGCCTCCACTGTATCCCTGCCAATGCCAAGATATTGTTACAAGAATCAAACATCAGAAGCCTCATTATGGAAACAGAAGATTGTTCCACAAGTTTGGAAAAAGATCTGAATTGATGTACTAGGTTTTGATGTTTGATCCGTTTAACCATTATCCATTATTTGATTCCTGGATAGCAAGAGCTTGAGGGCACTTGAGAGCTCATTGATAACAGAAGGAGCAAGTCAACAGAAATAGTCCTTTCTTGGTTGGTATTTTGTAGAATATGCAAGGCAAATGATCTTTTAGAGAGAACTGTGCAGTTAACAAGAAGCTTTTTTTTAATCTGCTGGGTTTCTTGACACATGGGCAAACTGATCCCTATGCTTAAAGGTATCCAAATTGGACTGGGAGTTCCATACGTGCCACCTACGCAAGAAAATTCCCGTCTTTGGAATGGAATGTGCAGGCTTTCCTGGGAAGGAAACATCTGTCTCATTGCATTGCAGCTGCTGCGTCTCAATGAGAACAACCATTAATTGTTTTGGTTCTCACCAATTTTTCCTGTTTCTCTCCTGTCCTGCAGATGTTGGGGTATGTTTCACAAGTGCCATTCATACTTCATCAAATTATTATCACATAATAACCTTGAAAGTTGTGTTAACAGGCTTTTAGCATTGCGAGAGATTCAACAGCTGATCCCCAACTCTGTCCTCGTCCACACCTATGCATCTTGTAGCTAGATTGCAATCAGGGTCCTGGGGCCAATTTGTAGCCTCAGTTGCTATATCAGTTAACTAATCGTGAGAATTTGAACTTAGTCTGTATAGTCTGGCACCACAACAGCCTTACCAATCGGGGGAACTAATATTTTTATTAAACGTTAATTTTGGAGCTCACAATTCCTGAGATGCACTGCTTACTTTATCCAATTAATAAATNAAAACAAAAGTGTGGACAGATGATCAGCCCACTCTTCTCTTGTGGAATTTATGACCCTTACCTTACCAGAAGGAAAAAATCGTTCCTTCACTGCCTTTTGAAGGAGACGGGGATGTAACCCCTTGAGAGTTAAGAGTTAAAGAGAGTTACAGAGTTTGTCAGTCTTTCAATACAAGAATGCTGATAGCTATAATTACGTGACAGTATTACAAATAATTCTTAACGTGTGTGAGCAATTCTGGTGCCTGAAGGTGCATTCCATTGTATATCTGATAAGGTTGTACAGAATGCCATGAAATCCCTTCATCACAGGCTAATGTACTGCAGCGTACATGTGGAGTTTTGAATCTGTTATGCGCCATTGTTCAGGGCCTAGAAGAGACCACTTTCGGTCAAAATGAACAATACATGGTTTTACATCTATTCCTTAGGCGTATGCAAATTCCTAAGCATTTTCTCTATTCACGAGTCATTCGAGACATGTGATTTTTGTCATTTTTTAAAAATGAATACCTTCTGCCTCAGATGCTCATCACCTCAGCAGAAGCTTAAAATACAGCTTTGTATTGTGTGGCACCACATTAACCATTTTGATTATACTCTCATTGATTTTGACACTTTGCCTTTGGTAGGTGAAGTCACAAAAAATTAAAATGTTAACTTGGGATCCATCGATCATACTAAGGTTACATTTACTCAGCTGAGGGGGATAAACTGGCAATGTTTTTTTAAGCAGGCTACAAGTTCTAATCAGTAAAGACAGCAATGATTGATTTGAGTACTTGCAGCCTGTTCATGAGGAAATATATATTTTTTAAAAAGTATATCTTCAAACCACTCGGGCTGCTACTCTGTCATTAGGTTGTGGACCTAGACACATCTTACATGTCAACAAGCTACGGGTAGAATCTTGATGGTGTCAATCATTGACAGATGGGCGGTACAAGATGCTCTTAATTGAATTTCCCTGGGGAAGGTGGGGAAAACATGCAGTGATAGAAGAGGTGGAGCTTTCATGAAGCTGATATCCATCCAAGCTGTCAAATTCTGTGAGAGCTTGTTACACAGAGGTACATTTGCTAATGACTTAAGCTTAGTTTCAGGATATTGGCCTAAGGGAAAAGCAGAGATATATGGTGAACTCCAGTCTGCTCATGAGCTCTCTGTAAACCTGCATTCTAACAAAGGCAAGACTTTTAAGAATTCAAAAGAATAATAAAAAAATCTAATTGGTAGGGTTAGGGTATCTGTGATCCAGAAAAATGAGAAACATGAGATCATGGGCAAATCTTTTAATACCATTTCCCAGTGTTCCACCATTATCCATTTATACCAGTACTTGCTAAGTTTCTATTTCACTGTTTAAACTTTCCAGATGATTCTGCATCTACTGCTTTCTGGGGAGTAAATGTCACATTCGTGCAACCTTGAATATAGTTTTAAAGTCTTGCTGCTGAAGACGGACAGGCACTCAAAAATTGTATAATATCTTCAGGAGGTTGAGAAAAATAAAATGGGAGGGGAACATGAGACAACATAGGTGCACTGTTTTCTTCTGAGGCTGATGCTTTTTCAGACAAGATTAGTATCTGTACTGTCCAGGCAGTGTTCTTGGACTGATGATGATGATAATAATAATAATCCTTGCATTTGATAGAGCACCTTATCGCGTCTTCAAGACGTCTCAAAGCGCTTCACAGAATATACTCTGAAGTGAATTGACTGTATATTTTGTGGGCGAAACGCGACAGCCAATTGTGCACGCGGCAGCCAGCAGTGTCCCACAGGAAGTATTACCACTCACTGAGATAATTATCATACCCTGCTGTTGGCCATGGTGCATTCTCTGTTAATATTAAATATTAAAAGTTGTGCATTGAGCGACCAATTCATCATTTTTTTTTAAGGAATTATTACCCCCAGAAAAGTGATCCGCCAAACAACTAATAACGACATAACAACTTACTGCTAGGTAAACAGAGGCGTGTGGAATAAGGAAGCTTGCCCACCGTTTTGCCCTGCCGGGAATCGAACCTGGGTCTCTTGCTTGCGAGGCGAGTGCTCCAACCACTGAGCTACATGATCTACACTCCTCACCCCTCTCCCCAAGTTACATCACTGCGATTAGTGATACACAAACTGGTTCACTGATCTCAAAACTCAATTATTAAAGTTGACATGAGAGGCACGAATCATTTCCCAGAGGTCAGTATCTAGCTCTTACCATCCATGGCTAAATTTGCGGTGGTGGAAATCAATTATAAGGTTTGAACGCTGCATTTTTTTAAACTTTCTATTGGAATATTGAACTAATTTAAATCAAAAGCGTGCCCTGCAAAGGGAAGAATTATTTCTCTCTTCTCCGAGGTTGTCATAAAATTTGTATTAATTATGTTTTGAATGTTTGCTATTGATAGAACATGGCAACCACCAGTCAGACATAATAAATCTCTTCTTGTGCAGCTGATCATAATTCACTTAAAACTTCATCACTCACGGAGATAATTATCATACCCTGCTCTTGGCCATGGTGCATCCTCTGTTAATATTAAACTACAACTTGATATTGCTTGAGGTTTATATTACATACGCTTGCTCCTTTTTTTTATAATTAAAATATCCTGAGTGCTGTTAAACTAAATGCAACCATCAGGGGCTGTACTGGGTTAGCGGATATCAATTGGGGGTAACAATTGAGCTCCCACAATTAGCCTAATGCCCCCATGCTTCTTTTTCTCTTCTTCTTCTCCCCCCCCCCCCCACCCCTCCCACATAGCTAATGTTCATATGGTTCTGAACTATACTCAGCCTATCACTCAAAGGCCATAGCCTGAAAGCAGAAGGTCTCTTGCGGTATAAATAATCACCCGTTTATTCCTAGTAGTTTAGACAACAAGGACTTAGACATAATAACAGCAGAACTGAACTCCACAGCATGACTGTAAAATCATGAATATTATTCCACTGCAAGTAATAGTAAAGTGTGTCACAGGAATAACGTTGAGTATTAATCCACCGGATGTTTAAACTTCCGGGACGCTACCCTGTGTGAGGAGCGCTATATAAATGTAAGTTGTTGTTGTTGCCCACACCACTAAAGTACCCTGAAGAAATTAGAATTTGATATAATTTATATTTTTTAATTTTGTTTCAATGCACATGTAATGATCAACAGCTGAGGAAGATTGAGTCAAACCTGTAACGCACAGGTTTGATGCTCCTGAATTGTTGAGTTGTATGTTCCCTGAATAATTACCATTGCTCGTATCTGTACATCCAATTTGTATCTTCCAAACGCCAGGGGCCATTCCATTTTGATTGACACATTTGGAAACAAAAAGTACAG